GTAGTTGTAACTAAGTCCTTCTCTTTAACTTTTTTCCTCTTCTTGCAGATCCGCGCTGGATCAAGAGTCTTATACAGACCAATTTCAGCATCTGTGTTTTCTAGGCCAGAAGTCAGGACTGGAGAGGTACCTTATAAACAAAATTCTGTATCTTCCTAAATTACCTGGTGAGCCTAAATGTTCTCAACCTAGAGTTCACTTGTACTAACACAAACATCTCTGCTCTGAAGCTTGCTTTAAACCAAACGTTTTATGATACTTGTTGCTGTCCTGCCGTTTCGCTCAAGAAAAGTCCTTTGCATTTTATGTTCATTGCTTTCAGGTGAACAGGTAACATTCTGAAGTCTTTATCTCTTATAGTCTCATCACTTGCAAGAGTAACTAGACTCTGGTTCTAATGCAACTTTTGTAACTATGAAGTAGCGCTGTATCATGAGAAATAGTCTGCGTCTGAATATAATGTTTTTTTTCATGTCTTGTTTTCTTAGGGCAAATCCACGCTTAATGGGGCCCAAAACACTGTCTCTCAACTAGCACTTAGAGAATTCCAAACTAGTGCTGTCAGCAGGGACATTGACACTGCTGCCAAATTCATTGGTGCTGGTGCTGCCACAGTAGGTGTGGCTGGATCTGGTGCTGGTATTGGAACAGTCTTCGGTAGTCTAATCATTGGCTACGCCAGGTAATCAATCTCCCTCATACAAGCATTGGATTATTTGCAGTTGTATCCTGATGCAGCATTCCCAGTAAGCTAAACTGTAGTAAGGATGATGGAGGTATATTAGATTCTGTTAATATTACTAGTGTTAAGCATAGCTAAATGGAATAGTGTGAAGCTGCAGTGTAACAGGGTGGCTCTCTGGATCAATTCAGAACTTGATACTGTCTGCATGGAGAAGAGATGTGAAAGAAAAGATTTTTAGTCTTGGTCAGTGCTTTTGTCACTGAAGTTCAGTGTTCCAGCATTCACTTCCAGAACTGAATTCAAAATCTAGCCTAGATTCTGCCCTAGAAGAAGGGAGATGTCCTAAAGAGGAACTTTATAAAACAGACATTAAAAAAATATTCATTTCATTATTCTTTCTAGCAGTTAAGATTTAAGTCTTCTGTTTTAATGAAGGCTTTTTTAAAAACCCTACTGAAGACAAGGAAGTTCAGCTTTGATTTAAGAAACATGAGGCTTGTCACAAAATGAATGTCTCCTCTTTTGTCATAGGCATGAACATGTCAGTAAGAGTTTTTGGAGTATTACTGCATACTGCTATGCTGAAAAGTCCTCCACTTGCCCGGGAATAATGCATTGCTTTTTTTTTTTTAATAACAAACTATTGCACACTAATTTCTTTTTTCTAGAGGGTTTCAGTTCCTGGATTTTTCTGTGAGCTACATGTTTTCAGCTTCCTTAGAATATAGTTGTAATGTGAAAGATATGAAGTAAACTTATAAATAGTGCTAATAGTTCCCATATAGGAGGAAAGTAGATGCAAAAGATGAATGTAGTCATAAAAGCTATACTTATTTGGAAAAGGCATGTATAATCTGCATAACTTGAATCTAACCTTAATAACAAAGTCACTTCTTCCATGAAATCTTTGCTTATAAAAAGATGATGCTTGGATTTACAGAATTTCCTGTTATAGAATCTGTGCAAGGGAAGTATGAGATTCTAAATCTGTGAGAAACATTAAGCTGAGTATGAGAAACTTCTTAAAGTTGAAAAGATCTTACACTTTTATTTTCTTCTAGAAATCCTTCTCTGAAGCAGCAGCTGTTCTCATATGCTATCCTGGGATTCGCCCTGTCTGAAGCTATGGGTCTCTTCTGTCTGATGGTTGCTTTCTTGATCTTATTTGCCATGTGAAAGGAGATCTGCCTGTAATATTGGCATTGGAATGTAATCCTGCATATTTTATGGGACTCCCAAGATGTTGGTGTCATGGAAATTGACGCTATTTCCAAAGTCATTTCATTAAAGATAACGACTTCAACTGTCAACCTGTTGCTTGCGTTTATTATCTATCTTATTAGGGTATTTGTCTTGTGATTATGACATACCAGGTCACAACAATGACTTCAAGTCAAGCATAATATTTGTGGGAGTGTCACTTGTTGGTTGAAGTCAATGTGACTTATCCTAGGAAAATCAAAGGATGCGTTGACAAAGTGTGAGAAGTTATACTTCTGGCCTTGTTCCTTAACCTATATCAAATTTATCCAGAGCTGTTTCTGTGCACAATTTTGTGTTGCTCTCCACTCCCCCACCCCCCAGTTAGCTGGCACGTGGAGTTTTGTCTCCCGATGGTAGAATGAGCTAAACAATCCTCAAGTAATGATAAGGAAGTTCTGTTTGCATCTGTTGTCAGTTTCACTATGAATTTTGATCACTCTAGTAAAAGCTTTCTGCTTGGTTCTGATCAGTATCCATGTTGAACTAAACTGTTGGTTGACATTGGTCCAAAGCCTTTAGTTGTGGCACATGGACATTATACTCTTACTTAATTACAGCATTCTTGGCATTACCTAACTAAAAGGGAGAATGTCCAGCTTGCTGATTTAGTGAAGATTTGTTATCTACCTGATTTTTTTAATAGTAGGATCCCAGCACTTCTAATAACAAAATGCCTGTACTGCAAGCTTTGCTTCTTATGGTTTCTATCTTCTAACATCCTGAATGCATTTAAGGTGGTGTCTGCATTTACAGCAACATACTGTGTGCTACTGTATACTAATTGGTTAGGTGGCTTTGAATATTAAATAATAGGTCTGATCATTAAACAACTATAAACTGACCTTTGGAATAAGGTGAACAAGCTTATGAGCTTTGCTTTCCTGCTGATAGGAATTAACTCTAGTGAACTATCTACTATGAGCTGTAACTAGCCTGTCCTCAGGTATACGGAGAAACTGATTTGTGGCTCTCTGGGGGTGCAGTATGCAGGTAGGTTCTTTGTTTTAATTTGAACTTAAATATCAAATAGGTATTCACTTAGCCTAACTTGAACGCACCATAAGAGGCTTCTTTCTCTGTATGTTCTTCAGAGGAAATAGTCATCCTTGTGAAAGGATTAAAAGCTGCTTTGTAAATATGGAAAGCAACTGTTGATTTTACTCAGGTTTGAAAGTGAAGTATGTAGCACCTTCACACATTCAGATCTAGCATAGTGTTAGTAGTACCCTGTGTGACTAGGCCTGGAAATGATTTGGTTTGGAGGGATAGCAGGAGGTGAAGCTTGTTGTAGCTATCATCTGTGATTGTGCTCACACAGCGTTCTTTTTTTAATGCACTTATTATCATCTATTTTTATAAGCTGTTACAGAGCTGACATGCAGTGTATTTGCCTTGGATGAAAGTCAGAAAGCAACTAGAATTCTAGCCTAAAGCTCATCTTTGTGTATGATGAGACTTTCTTGAGGTTTAGCTGTGTGGTTAGTATAGAGAGAAGTTCTGGCTAGCTATTCTGGAACTTCAATAAGGAAGCTGTCCAAATCATGGCAATTACTGAATGTACATCCTATCTTTTCCATTGTGGCTCACCCTGTCCCTATGATCAGCCTTGTCTGAAAGGCAGCACACACTTCACGTGTGCCATTTGTCCTAGTAGTAGCATCTCCCCAGGTTTGACTGATTTTTAAATCGCTCATATACTGCTGAACACAGTCCAAAATTGCTGTAAAGTAATGCCAAATTTGGATGCATTGGATCTCATTGTTGGATGAGTCTTGGTCTTACAAAACATGGAAACAAGCCTTCATGCAGGAAGTTATCTTCCTCATTGGCAATATTGTCCTCTTAGGTGCTTTGTGAGGAAAACTTACAGCTGCATAGGAGTAAGATCTATTCCTTTCTGCAGCATCTCACATTTGAGTCATTTGCAGTGCTTAGTTGTGAGTAATTCTGCCTTAAAGTCAGTGGTGTTGTGGGGATTTTTCTATTCTAGTGTATCTCAAATAATTTCCAGTGCAGTACTGGGCCAACAAAGCAGTTAAAAGAAACAAAGTATCCTGTATTTTCTTATCCACATTCAGGGAAATGGAATTTAATTAAATGTTGCAGAATTCGATTATGCCACAGGTACAAATACTTCCTTTCAAAGAAGCTTTTTTGTTATTCATAGCATTAGGTGCCATATGTTGAATAGAGCTCCTGCAAGGTCTGGTTATCCCAAGGCTTGGCTGTGATGTGCTTGGAGCAGTGTCACCGAGCACAGCCCCTGCAGCAGCTCCCTGCAGGACAGACTTCGAGGGTGAGTTTCTGTGGAAGTCCTCTGAGCCGTGTTGCCGAGCGGGCCGGGCACTGCTTGGCTTGGCTGTCGCGGCACGTGTGCTGTCCAGATGCGGATGCTGGAACGTTAACATCCTTAGCGAGAAGGAGTAGGGCTGTAACTGCTCTGAACGCTGGACAGAAGCGTCCCGCCTATCTCCGCCTCGGGGCCGCCGCCGTGCTCGGCGTGGTCACCCGTCCACGCGCGCCCCGAGCGGCACCCGCTCAGCCGCGGCCACACCCAGACACCGGCCGCTTCCGGCCACACAGGCAGCCGCACCCGCCCCGTCGGCGGCGCCCAATCCGCGGCGTCCCCGCCCTTCGCCCCGCCCCTCTGCGCCACGTGACCTGCGTTCCACCGGGCCCGCGGAGATGTCGGCGGCGCTCTCGCGAGAAGTGACGGAAGCCTGTGGGGGACCCGGCCTTTCATGTGCGGCGCGGCCCGCGTTCCCGGGTGAGTTTGTAAACAGGAGCGCGGCGCGGCCGGGAGAGGCGCCGGCTGCGCCCGGGTCCGGGCCGCGGGGAGCGCCCCGAGGGCGGAGGGGAGGGAGCGGCCCCGCCGAGCGGTAGGCGGGGGTTCCCGGGAGGCGGTAACATGGCGCCGCGGCTCCGCGCCGCCGCAGCCCCCTCCCCCACCGCGGCCTGCGGCTCCCGCCGCCCCTAGAGCCGGGCGGGAGGGCGCCGGCGCCGCCGCAGGTAGGGGCCGAGCGGGCGGGGGCGGCGGGGCGGAGGCTGCGCCGGCTTTCCCCTCGCCTCCGGCAGCGGCCGCGGCACCCCGGGCTCGGGCTGAGCCCCGGCCCCGAGGTGGAGGCCTCTGCGCGTCCGTCCGCGGCTCCGGGGGCCTCGGGATCAGCGGTGGGGAGGGGGGGCGAGCGCCTCTTGTGCGGGCGCGGCCGCGGCCTGTGCCTGTGATTGTGCCTGTGCCTCCGGGCTTATCCTAATGAAAGGGCTCCGGAGGTGTCAGCGGATTAAAAACAAGCGGCACAGCGCGGGCCTTCAGGCACTGATGGCTGCACGGTGTTTCGGGCGCAGACGTTCCGTGCCCCCGTGCCGTGCGTCTGTGGGCTTGGGGTGCAGGTGTCATCGTGCAGCTTTGTTCGTGCTGCAGCCTTCCTGCACCCCTGTGGTTAGGAAGGGGTTCCATCGGCACGTTTCCTTGTCCCACCCCCGTGCCTATCTCACTCATTTGCTTTTTGTTGCTAGTTTCTTCCAGAAATGTTCTTTCTCTTCAAATAAAGGTGCTGTCACCTGCTTCATAGTGGGATAAAATACTCTACTAGAGCAGGAAATTGTGAATCATCCGCTGCTTTGCAAACAGCTAATGCAAAGTGAATTTTCTCCTGCCTCTCCTTTCTCTTCTGCCTTTTAGAATGTCTTTGTTGTCACCTTGTCGTGCTCCACTCAGAGCTGTGAATCTTTTCTCTCCAGCTCTTGCTGGGTGTAAAGGCACGGAGTTGATTAAAACAAAATAAAAGACAACAAGACAAAAAGGAAAAAAACAAGTGTGCCTGAAGTTAAGGTTGAGTAACTGCTGTGCATGCATTAGATGCTCCATTCAACTTTAGTTCATAGGAAGAGGAAAACTTTGTGGTCCTCTGTTTCCAGTGTGGTAGATGTGTCTTCAGTCTCCTAATGAAACAGCAGTTATTCTCTGTTAATGAAAGCCTGGTTACAGGCACAAATTAGTGGTGTTCACTTGGATTCTCTTTTACTTACTTGCCAATTGAAGCCTTATTGGAAAAAAAAAACAAAAAACAAAAAACAAAGCACAAAAAAAACCCAGCAGCTTTGTCATAAGCTGCTTTTTATAATGCATCCAAAGAAATAAATAAAAAATAACTTTGTGTGCACATGGGGTGAAGTTGCTTTCAAAAAAACTCAGTGATGAGTTTGTTTTGCAGTTGAGAGTGCATGCTAACGCCTAAGCAGCTAGTTTGATCTTTGATCTTTCTTTGTGTGTAGTCAGATTTCCATCCTCACTTGAATTCTAGAAATACAAACATCGGTGCATCTTTTTCCAGAAGATTCTTAACTGTGCAGTGTAAAACATAAGGTGCTTTCAGGTCCTGAATTAATCATGCATAACTTGATGAATAATTTTTGTTTTCATGCTGCTTCTCTTGTGGTTTTGTGACAGCATTGAGCAGCCTGAAATATGGTGTTCTTTTAATCTTATCAATTTGGGTCCATCTACTGCCTAAAATTCCTTTTATCAGCTATTCTTTCTTTCCCCCCACCATTAATTTTTTTAAACTTACAAATGCACGTTCAAAGCTCCGAGAAACTTTACTAACATTTAAAATTTCTCTTATTTTTGAAACGTTTAAAAATGATTTGGAATTTCTGTATTAAAATAATGCACTGACTGTTTTTAGAGGAGTAAACATGATTCAGTAGCATTAACTTCTCTCTGTAATAATGAATAGACTTCAAGTTATCATGTCCTGCATAACTTAAGTGTATTTGTTTCAAATCAATAGTGTGCACTCTGAGACCCTGAATATAGCTAGTGATAGAAATACAAGTCGATACTTTATTACTATGCAATAGCTCATATTTTTGTTTCAAGTTGATGCCATACTGTATCTGATTGATTTTTGTGTCAGTTGCTGTTTAGCAGGAGCTCGACCTCAGAACTTTTCTATTAGCTCTAGTTCAGACTGGAGATTGTCTTCGGTAAGTTAATGGGAACCATGTAGCGTGTTTCCATTTCTGGGTAAATGCCAGTGGTCATTTACCTTGTTGCTTATGGGAAAAAAAATACATCACTCTGTTTTAATGAGCTATGAGAGTGCTTCAGTGGTATAGTCCTTGGTATATTTAAGGATTTAAAACTAAACCCTTAATTATTGTATGCAGTTAGGTACCCAAAGGATGCGATCTGTAAAAATGAAGTACCTTTGTTAAGATTTTTTTTAATTTGCTGAAAATAAAGTTGCAAAAACTGGGTTTATAATGTCTGTTAGGTTGATGGACAGTATTGAAGCTTTCAAACTTAGGTAATTGAGCTGGTGAAGGCGTAAAAGCTAATATCTTGCTAAACAAGTTGTAGAAACACCTGGGGAATATTACTTCCTATATATTTCCTTTCTGAGGGTTCCCTGACTTTCTACTTGTCTGTAAGAGCTGTATTCACATAGCACAAGCTTCTACTAATCCAAGCCCCTCTGAGAAATATCCAAGCCAGGCAGCTGGTGTTGGAACTGTCGTATTCAGCCAGCAGGAATTGTTAGGTCTAGTCATGTCTCTTTTATTCCATCAGTGTTCCTGGTTTACCAGAATTGTCCCTTCTTATGCAGAAAGCTTGCTCCTTCAGCAAAACCAAAGTAACTTCATTGGTTTGTTTCCATGCATGTAACTAGCTGGCCAGTCATTTGAAATTGTTAAGTCAATCATCTTCACTTGCCACACATTTTTCTTCTTATCCAGATGTTCTCCCTCTTAGTTATTTGAATTGGATCCCATGCCTTCCTCAATTTGTCTTAGACATCAGTTATAGACAGGTAACTGACAACATCAACATTAGGTCTGTTTTTAAAGGAAGAAAGCTTGTTGCAACAGGCATTGCCTTCTTCCTCCCCAGAACTCTCTGAAAGAGACCCCGTGACTTCAAGGAAGTGGAACAACCGCTCTACTAAGCAGTAGAGTGACAGTATTGAAGAAGGAGCTCCCGTTTTCCCCTTGGCCAGTTCTTGAGGCACTACAGCCTATAGTTATCTTCCAGAATCTACTGATTCTGCTACAGAATCTGCTTGCTAGTGATTCTACTTCCTTTTTAAGGAGGATCATTTATATTTTTTTCGATCTTTTTCCTCCTTCAGTCTGTTCATTTTTCAGCTTTCGTTTTTTAGGAATGTTAAATTCTGTGGTGGCGTGACAGAAATGCAGTCAGTCAGAACACTTCTGAAAGCGGTCTGTAATGGTGAATGTTAATTACACCACTTCTGCTTCACTTTTCTTTTTTTGCGTACAGGAAACTGAAAAGAAAAAAAAAGAAGTTGTTCCAGTCCTTCTAGGTAAGTGAAATGATAGCTTTTATTTTAAAATCCAAATGCTGACTTTAACTTTTTACTAAGTGGTAAATTCCACACTCAAACTTTTGGTTTTTCCTGAAAGCAAAATTTGCAAGTCTGAGTGCCCCTGTAGAAAATTTTAGAACTTAGTATTAAATATGAGAGATGATTAACATGTATGGAATTTGATGCTGTTGTCAGGTATCGAAAGTATAAGAGGTACCCTTTGTTTATTTTGATTTGCATTGACTTGCTTGGCTGCATGAGAACCAGCTCTTTTAATTTTGGAGTGGTTAAGTTTGGAAAAGAAAAACAGCTATTTCTTTATTTTTTTAATCTAAAGAAGCATCTCTACTAAAATTTTTGTGTAGGGCCAAGCAAATCATTAAATTCTGCTCTTCAGGTACCTGTTAAGAGAATGTTATTCTTTAATGTGCGAATAAAGTCAGTCCACTTGACTTTAAATGCGAACCAGGAGATGAAGAAGTTACACACCTCAAGTAGAACTCATGAGTTGATAAAGACTTTGATAATTTTTGCCATTGCTCTTTTATGCTTCACTTTTCTTTTATAGGAACTTTAAAGTAAGATCTTAAAATCCTAATGCTGAAAGCAATTACATGCTACGATGAGATCTACATTAAAGGTTACTAAGAGTTAATAACTCTATATACAGTCAGTTTATTGTGCGATAAAAAGGGGTGCAATCCCAGATCAAATGTAAAGAATGAGAAGAAATGTTTAGTGTACACGATTAGTCTTGAGAAAATGCAAACATCTGTAGGAAAATACATCTCTGATGCTTTGACTTAAGCACTTTGTGAGGTACAGACTTAGGAGAGCCTTAATGCTGATAGGCTTCATAATTCTGCTTTGTGACAAAAGCCCAGTTTGTGTTTTATCCCACTTTCTCATTTTTTTTGAACAAGGCTGTATAGCTGTTTTTTGAGTTGGAGCTGTATGCAAGTGGGCACCCAAGCTGCAAAACTTGGGTTTGCTGCAAGCAGCAATAGATTAATCCAGCAATTGTAGTAGCTGGTAGGCTCAGATTGTCCTCCGTAGACTGTCCAATTGAGGAATGGGTTGATGCCTGCCGGAATGTGCGTTTCTTCTTGCTTTCTGTGCAGCAGAGGAATGGTGAAGTAGTGTTCTTGGTTTTTTTGCCTACCAGATTTCGTTTGTTTATAGTTGTGTCTTCTCAGCAGATCCTATCCTGTATTCACTTTAAGGTGTCGTCTTCCATGCTGTTTGTGTCAGCTTTGAAATTACAAGAGAGCAGTCTATTGCTACAGGGTTTAGAATAAGAAATTGCAAGGTAAGCTTGCATAGCTGATGAACAAATTAGGGCATAAGGGTCTTTAGGCATCCACTGTGCTTGGTAATGTTGAGAGGCTTTAGCAGCAAGTCTTGACAAATCTTTATAGGCATGTGTGAATGACTTTGCTCAGCAAATTTGGAGATATTTTTGCAGGGATTGTTAATGTACATGTATACGTCTTAAACAACTATTTAAATGTTTAACAGAAAAATTTTGAATTGGGGTGCCAGTTGAGATTTCCATGCTTCTGCTGTATGGGTAATTAAGAGAGAAAACAGAAGAACCTTTACCACTAAAATAAGCCATCAAGGCATTGGTCAAGTCTGTGGTTGCCTTCTTTTACAACCTGTCTACAGGAAGGTATCTTACAGGCAAGCTTCAGAAGATCCAGTAATAGCTTCTTGAAAGTGTACTTGAGGTATTTACTTGAAATCTTATTAAAAATATACAGATGATTGTTGAAGCTGTTTTTGTGACGTTTAGATTAACCCTGGTTTGATGTTTTATAGGAACACCTTTATTTTTTAAATAAGCATGCTGTCAGTGCTTATTTAGATGACAGTAAATTATTTGTAAATGCTACCGTATTTTGCTTTGCATTAAATGCATTTTAACCAATTGTATTTATTTACAAGTGTATAATTTACTGCATTGCTTGCTTTCCAAAAGTGGTGAGACTTAGGACATTTAAATGCTTTCGCATCATTCTGGTTTGTGAAGCAAATGAACACCAAAAATGAGAGATTGCATTCTGATTTAAGTACTGAAGTTGTCTGTACTGCTGAGATTATTTGTTGCTGTTCCCATGTTCATCTCTGATACTGTTTCTCCCTGAGAATTACGCTGAGAATCTACAGGTTTCTCTGTTTTTCCAAGAGAAGGCAGGATAGGAAGGCTTATAGAAGAATGTTGTACGACTATAATAAGAATTATTTAATTCAAGTGTTTAGTTCATCAAATTCAAATTGAATCACTTCAAGAGCTGTCTTCTTTTTCTCTATGTGACAAGGTTTTTTTGCTTGTTACCTGGCTTACAAACAAAAGTGCCTATAATTCATCTCTGGCCATTGGGTTTGATTGAAGCTCACATACTTTATTTCTCATTGTGTTGGATGGGGAACATTTTTGTTAAGATGGCATGTAGGATTATTCATGGAGAAAGTATTTTTTAATTCTTTTTTTTATTGCGGTGTTCTCTCTCAGAGCAGTCAGTCTCCAATAGCCTTTTAAAATCAGAGCCCACAGAAATCCAGAAGAAAGAGAGGAGGCAGGCAAAGGATGTATTTTGTGTTGGTTTTTGTTGTTGTTTGTTTGTTTCTTGTTTGTTTGTTTTAGCATAGCATCTACAGTTTCAGGTGGTGGGCCATGAACTTAACCACCTGGAGTTTTCTAAAGCTGTTCCAAGAATGTTGAGTCTCTTTCTTTTGTTGTGCTCTACCAAGAATCTGGATCTGTTCTCTCTATAGTAGCACAGTAGGTAGCATTAGAAGGAAAGCAGGTCTTTCCTTAGCCTTCTTTTTCCAGGCTTGAACGTAATAATCCAACCCCGTAAGTGTTTTTGGGCCCCTACTGGTTTCTCTTCGAGTTGGTTGTCTTTTTTGTTTTTAAGGGCTCAAAACTGGACATAGTACTCCAGCTGCAGCTCCCTGAATGCCAAATGAAGGAGAACAGTCACTTCCCTTGATCTGCTTGCTATGCTTTTTCTAATTCAGCCCAGTATGCTGTTAGCTTTTGGTGCTGCGATGACTTGCTGATGAATTGTATTCAGTTTGTTGTCTACCAGGAGCTCCAAGTTCTGCCCCAAGGCTGCTTGACAATCATTTGGCCCTCAGCCTGCAGTGTTGCATGGAATAATTTTGTTCTAGGTGCGAGCTTTGCATTTGTCTCTGTAGTAGGTAAATACAATCCTTACTGATGTGGCTAGACTAATGAATGTGAGCCCTTTGTTTTCCCATCCTGTCAGATCCGGTTTCTGTTTAGATTTATAATGTCCAAGGTCTTGCTGGAATGCGGGAGTGAATTTCTTTTCTCTTTTAAGTTCTAAAAACTTAGCACTTCAACTTTTTTTTTTTTTCCTTAGATGTTACTTGGAATCTCTTTACAAAGGCATTATCTCTCAGAATGCCTTGTGGTTTGCAGACAAGTAACAGAAAGTTCAGAATATGAATTTGTCTCCAACTTCTCTCCATGAAGTTATTCAAGAGGACACCACTTTGTTTTCTTTTTCTTTATAAACAGGGTGTCAAAAATTTCAGGCTTCCCAAACTAAAATGTGAAACAGGTGACTGCTTAATATGCAAATAGCAAATGCATGTTTTGGTAATATTCCTTTAAAAGAGTAAATGGGCAGACAGAAAAAGAAAAATAATCTTTACAGTTTATGACCTAAGAAAAAAATGCTAACAGTGTGGGTGTAGTAGATTTTTGTGACTAATACTGTGCACTTTCAGAGACTCGCAGTAAGCTGTATTAACAGCTAGAGTGTTGTGTGTGCCCCTTGCTTAATCAAAATCTTCACCTTCTAGGAAAAAACAATATACTTTTGGTCTGTTACGGAAATAACTTTTTGTTTATAATATGTATTTATGTGTATATTGCAGTTGTATTTAAGTATGTGCTGCCTCATGATCAAGATTTAACAAAGCTAATTCCTTTTGAGACCTAAAGGAGTCTGTCCCTGTTAGTTTGAACCCATAATAAAAAAATCTGCTTTACATAGCTGAACAAAGGTACTGTGTTCAGGGGGGATGACCTCTGAGTGTCTATTTAAATTCCAGATAATATAAAGGAATCCTGAGGCTTCAGTGAGAGCAACCTAAATCATGAAGCCTAAGTTATGAATATTAAACTTGCCCACGACATTATTAATACTCTTAAATGTTGATAGTACCGTGTTCATAGTTGTAACAGTGCAATAAATATTTCACCTCTTCAGAACCTTGAGACAGGTTACGAGTTCGTTGCAAAGAATGGTGGAGCAATCTCTGTCCATCATTTGCTTTGGCCTCTTGTCTGTAGTTCATAAATGTTTCCCTGAGTTGTTAGTGCCAAAGAATCTAAAGTTTCTGGCAGCCATTCATCTCTTCTTGGCTTGTGATCTCAGTCTCAGAATCCTCATTCTGTTGAATGTATATATTTAGAAGTGACACTGGAATCTCTCTCCAAGATCTGCTTCTTTGCTATTTGGTGCCCATAGCTAAGGACACTGGGCTTGATATTAAAGTAATATCCAAAATTCTATGCAGTAGTTTTTACTATTCAGTCTTAGGCAAAAGGATCAGATAATGTGTCCCCTACATGTACACATTTCTCAGGTATTATGCCTTAGATGATTTGCCTAGGCTTACTTGAACTGTTTTGTCTCTAGTGGTAAATGGTATTCTTAGGATAGTTAAGCAGCTTCCGAAGCCTTGCACCTTTTCATGACCACTCTTCAGGGGGAGAGATGAATTTGTTCTGTTTGTGATTGTTAATCACAAAGACATATTTATTCATCAAGCCAAGCAGATGTCAGAACTAACATTGTTAGATACTTATATAAGTATCCATACTTAAAGATGAATGTGTTTCCTTTTGGGGGGTGGGGGTGGAACTCACAGAGGGGCTAACGGTGCTTGTCATCTCCTGGCTAGTTAGCTACACTGGTGCTTTATCTCTGATGTGACAATATCATGTTTTTACATGTTCATTGTCCCTGAACTGTTGTTATTTTGAGTTATTGATGTCACAGCATCCACATACAGATCTTGTGCACTGTCCAGCACAGGTTGACCCAATCCCATCTGTGTCCCTTTTTCCCAAAGTAGAGCGATACCACCTTGCCTGTTGAGAATGTAGTTGAGAAATGCACTCTCCTTTCTCTTATCCCACCCAGTTGTGTTCTTCCCTAACACAGAATGCAGTCAGAGCAGACTTACCATGCCAGTGGATTAATTTTGGTTTGCTAGAACCAGGAAAGAAGGGGCTGAAGGAAAGGCTTGTGGTAAGGACCAATAGCCAGGAAAGCATAAAAAGTAACTGAGCCCAGAATGAACTTGAGTGAACTTCCAGCCAAATGGTTCAGGAGCAGAGAGTTCATAATAATGAGATGAAGGACAGTTACACCTGCTGTCCACAGCTTATTACATCTACCTTGACCACGTTTTCCAAAAAGTTAATACAGCACTGTTGACGCTTGATGGAATTAAAATATTTCTTTGTACTGGTATCGTGAAAGATTCAAGTAGATGACCACATTTATTTCCACGTATGTGCTAGAAATGTCCTGCTCTTAGCAAGGTGGAAGGGAGAGTCTGACAGCAGATCTGTCTGAAATTGTTTCCCTTGCCCTGATGTGAGTGCAAACAACGTGTTTCTCTTTATTCTCTGCTTTAGGTAAAGCTTCATTGTCTGCTTTGGAATACCTTACCTTAGAGCATCTGAAATGTGAAGATCATCTTTGCTTCTTTGAAGAAAAAAATGTGTTGCATGCATCTAGCTATGAAAAAATTACTTAGAAAAAAATGTTAGTTCTTCAGTATTCTCCTCAGCAATTCTCTGAAACTATCAGGATTTTTGTAGCTTTAATTTGCAGACTGATTTTTCTTTTAGTGTTAGAGCTCTCACTTAAAAAATAAAGGGTACTAGATTTTTTTTACAAGAAAAATATCAATCATGTAGTTTGTCCAAAAAATTGTAGAAGCAGCTTTTACTGTCTCAGAGAAGTAAAATTTGAGAAGTGGATCTGTTGAGGTAAACGATTCATTTGGCAAACCTGTAGTGTTTCTTGGTTGAGTTATAAAGGATGGACATTATATCATATATCTTTACAGAATCATGGTTTATTGCATATTTAACAAGCATAGTAATTAATATCTTCTTTCAATTACAGTTCATTGCCATGAAAAGGAGGATATGATAGTTTGCCCTATGAAACAGATTTATATGTGAAATCTGACAGGTACGTGTTTCAGCATGCTTGATGAGTAAGCAAAACAGCATAATATAGAATAGTGTCCATTAGTTCATTCTTAAATATTTTTTAGCTTCCTGGTAATTCAGCTATATAGCTGAGATGTTAAAGTATATGTGTGTTTTGCAGTTATATTTGTAAAAGAGTACATAATGGGCTATGCATTAGGTTTGCTTTGAGTGAGAAAAAAAATAGATGATTATGAAAAAGTTTACATGATTATGAAAAAAACTATCTAATCAACACTTTCGTTTGTTGGCACTGTGATCTTCAGTACTCATTATTTATCTGCTGCTTTGTTCTTTTCTTGGCAGGGGGTGGAAGGAATTGGGTAATTATTACAAGATATTTTTGTTTCAGAAACAAACGGTCTTACTATGTTTTCACAAATGTTTTGCAGTTAATTACATTACGTACAAACACTTGCCTTTCCAACTGAGTTGCACATTTAAAATCTGTCTCAATTTGATTTTGGCTACAAACTTAGAGTTTGTAGTCCGAATGCTACTCACATGCTGGGTATTTAGATTCTTAGTGCAGTCAGAAGGCAGAAGTTCTTGGTTGTAGAGTATTAAAATCTCCCATGGATGTTGGTTATATTGATAATTTGTTGCAGTGTTTGTAATATGCTTCCCACTGTCATTTTAATACAGGTAGCACAACGACCTGTGGAATATGAGTGATGACAAACCCTTCTTATGCACTGCCCCTGGATGCGGCCAGGTAATGGTGTGACTTGAAGTTATTAACATTGATTGAATAAAAGTAAAACAGTGAAACATGTTTCCAGAGATTGAAGAGAAGAAACTTAATTGGTAGAAAGTACCCATGTTTCCAGTTCTGCTGAAAAGCAGGTGACAGCAAGAATTTCTGGCATTTAAATTCTCAGTTTATTTAGAAAAATACTAACCATATAATGAAGACAGTTTCCTTTTTTGCCCTGTCTTATTTGTTTTCATGAAAAAAATGTGTGCAATAATTGTGCAGGTAACCTACGTTTTTCAGTATATTTCACATTAATGAGGAGCTCACTGTGAGACTTGGAGGATTTGTGTTTAGTAAGTCTTAAAAATTTCACTATTCTTTCATTTCAAAGTAGTTTAAAATGGATTAATCTTCCCATCTGTGGTGACTGCTAATACTTGATAGAATCATTTTTATGTGTTTTTTGTATAAAGAAAAGCGTTAGCATTATGCATGTCACAGAATCCTATAGTACTTCTAATACATCGTATTAAACAGCATTAGTAGATGTAGCACTAAATAAGCAGAAAACAACAACAAAAAAATAGTTAATGAATGCTTTAAGACATGGTCACTTAAAATTTATGTCTTAACACTTTCAATTTAGTAACGTGAAAATGAGTGAGTTTACATTCTCTGCTGCATGAGGTTGACATTCCTGCTGCCTTTGTATGGAACCAATTTCTTAAACTGACTGCTTTTTTTTTTCCATTATACTGATGCACTTGGATTAATTTGAATTTTGAGGTCAAAATATTTTTATTCTTGTTCTGAAAACATAGCTTTTTATGATGACTGACAGCATTAATGTTACATGAATGAAGCGTTTTGTATTTAAAGTGGGAAAGGACTTGGATTTCTTACTATGTCTTGTATGTTCAGAGACATAAGAAGTAGCAGAAGTTGAATACCTTCTCCTAAGCAACATGTTTTTGTCCCCATCCTGTCTGAATCCCATTTTGATGTAAGCTGTCAGAACTAAATCTCATAGAAGATGCACCATGGGGCTACAGCAGTCCTTCATTCAAGTGAAGGAGGAAAGTGAAGTTTGTGTCTCAGAGAACGGGCAAAGCTTCTCCAGATGCCAGATCATGCTGTAAAATAGAGATCCTGTTCCTTCCAAATAAGTTTGTCCGTCATGTAGTAGGACGTAGAGATGTGTTTGAGTTTTAGTGTAATAGAACAGTAGGGCGTATCTAGAGGTAAGACCCTTGGCAAGCAAAGTCCTAACAGAAGAGCCTGGCCTGTATTACACCATTTTTCAGTAATCTCGCATTTTTAAGTCTCCTCTCAATTCCACATGTACATGTCCCTTCTCACATAAATATTCTAAAGACAATGCTTGGAGGTCAATTAAGCTTTCTATATGGTTTTCTGAGAGATGATGCTTGGTGGGTATCTCTTACAAGTTATACATGGAGTGACTTAAGTGATTGGGGAAAAATCGGAAACTTTATGGACAAAGTTTTTCACTTGGAGGATGGTGATGCACTGGAACAGGTTGCCCAGAAAGGTTGTGGATGCCCCATCCCTGGAAGCATTCAAGGGCTGGATGTGGCTCTGGGCCGCCTGGTCTAATGGTTGGTGACCCTGCCCACAGCGGGAAGGTTGAAACTAGATGATCTTTGAGGTCCTTTTCAACCCAGGCCATTCTACCTGGGTTCCAGGTGTTCACAAGAAAAGTAAGAATTAGAATATTTCATTGAATGTACAAGTGTGCATTTTGGGAAGACTTTTCTTAGATTATCCCAGTTGAATTACTAACTTTACTCACAATCAAAGAGGCATAGCAAGTTTCAAGTTAAAAAAAATATATATATATATCTATTGTACAGAACATACTTTGTCTGCTTGCTGCTTCCTTCATAGAGTGTATGCTGAATTGTGGAAGAGTATGCGAAACACTGCTGGAATACTTCTGAAAACTTGGGAGCTTTTTAAGTCCTGATAAGTTTTGATAATTTACAGCCTTTCAATGGTTTGATGATATAGCAGTATTTCCCATTCCCTCTGCCTCATGTTACGTAGTAACCTGTCAGCGGCAGGAGTTACATTTTATTTAGTTATTACACTATTTAATACAGTAAGTCTGTGTTTGTGATTACAGATCAATTCTCATAATTGTGATAAACCAAACAATAATATCAAAAAGTGATAATTGCTAAACATTCACAAGATCTGTTAGCGTAGAGAATGGCTGTTTGCTAATGGTTGATGGAGTCTGCAGCACTCTGAAACGTTATCATGGACTTTTAATGACTGCAGGTACCTATACTGCCATTTCACTGATATTATTGGTGTTTGGGTACTGTGAGCATTATTTGAGTTTTGTCATATTTCTGCTGGTACTGTTGACCAACAAGTAAGATATTCCAAAGAGTTGTCTATTAACTTAGTAACAACTGTTTTACATGTTATGAAAGTGACTTTCTGTAGAACTGTATTTACTGTGTTTGTATTCAAAATTACATTTCTTAACATTTTCTGCCACAGCGTTTTACCAATGAGGATCATTTGGCTGTCCATAAACATAAACATGAGATGACACTGAAATTTGGTCCGGCTCGTAATGATAGTGTCATTGTGGCTGGTTAGTATATAATTTCATAACTAGTTTGTTCATTTTTTTCTGGTGAAACATGCATTCATTTTGGTCTGTTTTCTGTATTTAATGAGTAGTTGTGCGTTATGAAACTGAAATATTTTCTTCATTGTAGTTGTCTGCAAAGTGTTTTGTAAATGCCTTCCTATATTATTAAATTTTCTTACCATCTGTTTTTTAACTTTTATTTAGATCTGATACATGATTAAATATTTTCCAGATATCATTACTTTAATAATTAATTAAATTGTGTAGTAAGTGTTCAATAAGAACCGACACTAATAAAGGCTGTGCCTAACAGGTCTGTCACTAGGTTGTACCATATTTAAGACTTACAGTTTAATTGGGATTACTTGTCCTTGAAATTTAAAATACATGATGTTTTTACATGCTGTGATGACATTAGGAGATGAGTTAGTAACTACAAGAAAGATAACAATAGTTTTAATTATTTCAAGTATTCTTAAATTCCAACTACTATTATTGTATTTCGACCTCTGAATTCAAGGCATATTCGTGGTTGTAAGTAACTTTTTTGTTTGTCCAGGATCAGAAGTAATCACCAATGGATCATAATATACTTTAAAGCTCTTCAATGAAGACAGCACATTCTAATTATGAAGTTATAGTCAGAATGTTTTTTTTCCGGTGTAAATGGATGTTGCAAAGACTTTCAGACATTTCGAGAGCATCTTTGTTTTAAGAAGCTAACTTGTTAGGACAAACAGACAAAAAGAAGTTGCTGTTACACTAGCAGTTGCATTTTGATATTCTAGAGACAGTCTTCAACTATTAAACCATAAGAAAGAGAGCCTGTCTGTAATCAGGTGTGTGAGAATGAAACTATGATGTCATTCTGTCTCTTTGCATCTACATTCCAATGTGTGAACTGAATAACTAACTAACTGCTAGATTACATTAGTGAAGGTGCACATAATAACACTAATGATATTTCAGATGAATTACTTTGTGGCAAATGACTCAGTAATAATAGAGGAATTTACGTAGTAAATTTATAGAAAAACTCTTTTGAGACTACCTCAGGCAGTAGTAAGCAGGGTGCCTGAAGTCTTAGAACTGCAGCTCAATTGTACAGGCAGTAGAGGATCCAATGAAGTCTTTTGTACAATATCATATCTCCTATTATTGTGTTTCACACACTTGGTATTGATTACTGTCGTTTTCACAACATTAGAAGAATGAAAGAAATTGTCTGTGAGCTGTGAATGCACTTTTAAAAAAAAATTAAAGCCTTTGTGTAGGTCTTGCCTTTGAAACTGGAGGCTGCTAGCTCACCAAATTGATGTGCTATACTTGACTGGCTCTTGAGAGAAGCTCCCGATGGTTGATGAACATGGACAGAAGAAAACTTTGATATCCTTCCAGCACTGTAAGGGGTTAGTGGTCTGCAAACTTGAACTTCTTGTCTCCAGCAGGTGGAGTATGCCTTGTGGCTGGTTTTCCTGCAGGCCAGAAAGGAGCGTGCTTTCAAGGCAAAACAATGTTTTTAACCACATCATCTATTCCTTTCCCTCATCTGTATTTTTCAGAATTGAAAGAGTTTTCTCTGTTTCTAATCAAGAGTCTAGTTTTCTATGAAAATGACAGTATTGGCTTACAAAAATCAAGCATATTAATATAAATCCTGTATGTTGCTATGTTTTGTAATGCAACTGCTTTTTATTAATATCTGTGTGGTGTTGGCTGGCAAGGAATGATAATTCTGTCTGAAATGAGTGAATTCTGTAAAAGGCTGATAAGAGAGGAGAACTGCCGTACAATTACAACCATAAGATTTTGGGTTTATAGTTTCATTTCCAATAGATGCACTGAAATACTTGGTATCAAAGCACTTCTTTGGCCATTCTTTTTGTTGTGTACTTCATCTTTTGAGAGTGTTACTAGAGTATAATCATCAGAAAATCAGCACAAGTCTTTAAGGTTTTGTTCTTTTTATCAGTCTTCAAAATATATACTTAATTAACAGTTTACAGGCAACTGAATGTAAGAGCATCCTAAAATACAAAAATACCCTTGCTTTTCATGTATTTACTTTTCTGAACAAAGTGAAGTAATTTTGAAGTGAATTGCTAAATAACTTCAAGTATTAATATGTTAATCAAATATAAAGCTAGGTAAAATAAACCTATTTATATCATCTTTATGATGGCAAAATACAGATTTCTTAAATGTATAAATTTCCTTGATATCATCTTGATTTTAAGTTAGAAGAGATCCTCTGTAGCATAAAACTCACTGAGGCTCATGAATAGTTATCTGAATACATTCAGATTTTTTTAATGTAATTAAGTTAACCTGGGTTAGTTTTAGTAAAAGTTATGTATTTTTATAATTACAAATCAACATCTTGATATATTGGTGCTGTCTCCTTTTACTTTGAAAATTATTTACAGTGTGTGTGCTCTCAAACAGTATTTTAAAAGTAAAATTGTGTCGCTTGTGTAAACTTCATTTCAGATCAGACACCAACACCAACTCGATTCTTGAAGAACTGTGAAGAAGTTGGCTTATTCAATGAATTAGCAAGTCCTTTTGAAAATGAGTTTAAAAAGGCTTCTGAAGATGACATTAAGAAAGTAAGTCCATATAAATTTTCTTTTCAGTTTTGTTTTTCAATTGAGAAAAGCAAACTTGAGTTTATGTGTTGTCTTTTACACTATACCAGTAGTTGTTGGTCAGCTGCCAGCATATAGTCTTCCATGAGGAGAATACAAAGTTAAGATAACTTTTCTGCAGGTTAGTTTGCATAAGAAGAGTGGACACTGGAACACACTGATTTTGTCTGAATTCTTTAAGTGTCTTGCCTTTATCTGTTCATCATTAGCTTGATTGAAATTTCATTAGCTCCAAATAATTTTTAAAAGTCTGAGAATTAATGAATCTTGCAGAAAGAAAGACATTTGAGAAGAAAGAAGTGAAAATAATAGTATTAAATACTCTAAAAATTCAACACAACCACTAAATTTGGAAATGTCAGTAATTTGATAACAGCTATGTTCGCTTTGTCAGTTAAATAATCATTTTTACTAGAAATTAGTGATCACAACCTAAACATCTACATTGCTTTTTTGTACAGTACATTAAAATCTAAGCAGAATTTACAGTTTTTGTTCAGCATTTACTGTTCTTTCGTGAGGAACTGTCCTTAAGTTTAAATGCTTTCTCCTATTTCTTCTATAACTTTCTAGCACTAACTAGTTTAGGGCCCAAACGTATAAACACGTCTCCAGATGAAAATTTTTATTGTGTTCCCATTGAATGATTTTACCTTTGACTGATTATATGCTTTAACTTCCACAGACAGTGACATTTAAAAATAAGTCAAGTCTGTTTTATACATATGTATATAGATTTTACAGAATCAGTGTCTGGTTATTCTCTGTTTCAGTAAGGATTTTAGTAGGCACTTGTGAATAGGACTCATTTCTGAGTGTTCTTGATGAAAACTCACCTTTGCTTTGTGCTCACAACTGTGCCAGATCTTTTTTAATTGGTGCATGGGAACTTTCTTAAAATCATATGAATGATAAAACAAATTCTGTTTTTGATTTTGACTTGATTTTCTTTGTAATTCACCACTTTCTTGGAGGAGGTTACAGTTATTGCAGAGTATTTAAAACATTTCAACAACTTTTAAAATTGATATTTGTTTTCCAAGCTGACAAGAAGAAACACAGTTGTGCTGATTGTTATCTTTGATAACATAAATAAACAAGAACGGCAAGGGGTAGAAAAAATTACCCTAACAGCAATTCTTCCTAAGGTTTGTTTAAAATAGTTTTGCTTTTTCTGTAGTGTTTCACATTCAGCTGTAGTGTGAAAAGAGGTTCTACCTTCAGCAATTTTCCCTTCTTTTTAATAACTTATTCAGTAGGAAAACTAAAAATGAAATAGAAAAAAAGCACCTAGAAGAATAAAAATGGAATATGAGTTCTGGGGGAACTCTCTTTCAAAGGTATTTGGACAACAGGTTAGATGGTAGTACAGGTTTTCAAGTCAATACATTGCTTTAAGTATTTTCATAACTAAATTTCCTAGCAGCATTTCAGATGTCCTGGTGGATTTTTATCTGTGTAGCAATATAAAACTTTTTCAATAATTATTAGCTGCACCAAGTTTGAAATGACAAGTCCATTATAGCTTTTTTTCTACTTTGAAAATGAAGTTGAGATTTTACACTTTGCGGCATGTGATGTAATTTATAGAGGGATTGTATCGTAAGTGTAGCCTTTAAGTGTAGTGCTGTCCTTCCTCAATTATAACTCTCCTGTGAATCTTGGGAAAGAAGAACTTCAGAAAAATTTTTAACCTGGCAATGGGAATTGAAACACGAAGTCTTAAAGTTGGTATTTATACACATGCTGGAAAAAGTAGGCTTGACTGCTAATGCATCTGCATCAAGATCTTCCAGGCATCAGCACCTCACTGTTATTATTATAATAAAGCTAATATTTCTCCTTAGTTACTTGTATTTTCTTACGCATTTTATTTTTTTAGTGTTTTTTTTTCTTATTTTCTTCTTTTCCATTACTTTTAGATGCCTCTAGATCTGTCTCCTCTTGCAACACCAATTATAAGAAACAAAATTGAAGAACCTTCTGTTGTAGAGACAACTCATCAAGATAGTCCTTTACCTCATCCAGAGTCTACTACCAATGATGAAAAGGTCAGGATTGTTTTTTATTTTTGGAATTCATTATCTGAATCCTCTGATGGTCTTTAGGTTTCTTGTACAGGTTGATACCCATGCTACTTAACCGGCTGAAAGAAAGACCTTGTTTAACCACATTTTCTGGATACATATGTAGTTTGTTCAGTTCTTTAGTTAGCTTTGCTCAGCACAATTTTCTATTTGCCTCAAACTGATCATTCAGTAAAGCTACAAAGGAAATCAGATTTAGTATTGCTGCTATGTTAAAAAAGTTTTAATTGGGCTCTTCATTCTTTTTTTATGCATCATCAAGCAGTAGTTGTGAAAAAGCAAATGAAGTGTAGCTTGAGACTCTCCATGTGTACATTTTTGTATTTATCCCGTGTTTTGTCATGAATTGTTTTGTGCAGCAGCATGGGGTGTTCTGTAAAGATGTACAGGGGTTGAATAGGCAGTCTTTCAAAATTAAGCAGGAAAACTTTATTTCAAAATCCATACCCTTTCAACTATATCAGTATTTTTAAAAACGATGATCTGGGGCAGTTGCTTGTTTAGTGTTTATCTGAAGGCTGGATTTGTGAGGTATTGTCTGTCTCAAGAGAATGTTGTAATTAAATTAATTTCAGAACTACTGTTCTGGCAGTACTAGAAAGAAATAGTTTGATAATAAGATTGATATGTAACTTGCAGTGTTTTCATCATATGAAGTTCTCTTGGAGAACACAAAATTGAGCAAAATTAATGGAATGAATTAATTATTTAATCAAGTAGGAATGGAAATAAAAGTATAAAGAACAAAGCATTACTAAGCAACATAGTTGCTATAGTCAGGTTTTCTATGTGCATCACTAGTGGGCAGTCTGCATTTGAGAGACTTAGATACCTTATTTCCAAAAATTAGCAGACTTGTATGGGATTACGAGATAATGCATACTGGAAGGGACCATAAGATGTTTCTATTCCAACTTCCTGCTCAAAGCAGGGTTCAGTTGTGAGACCAGACCAAGAGGCTCAGGACTTTATGCAGTCCAACCTTGAAACCTCCAAGAAGGGAGAATGCACAATGTCTCTGCTTAATACATTCCAATGCCAGACTGTCCTTGTGAAGGTAATGTTATTCTTTGTATCCAGTTTACTGCTTTCACTTGCACCACTTCTCTTGTCCTCCCAACAGACAGTGTATGTCACAGAATGTCAAGGGAGTTCCAGTAGAGAATTGTCTTCAGAAGGCTGTACTGAGTTTTATAAATCAGGAAAGATGAGTAATCGTGGCTTATCAAAGTGATTATGTAGTCAAAAATAGTAAAACTGGTTTAAAAGAATACACATAAAGAGCTGCTTTGATCAAGCATAACATAGCCCAAATCTTAAATCATCTTCTTTATTACATAGTTTGGAGAGGTTAGTTTGTTTTTGTCTGCAAATAATTATTCTAAGTGCTCAAGTCTTGGCAGGAGAAAGTATTAATGTCTTATGTTACAGTAGTGGTTCAGTATCTCATTAGCATCATTACAAGAGCAAATTGTATCTAAATGCCTGGCAGTGCTTATAAACTTATTCATTATGTAATTTCAGTGTTGTCACTGTAAGAGTGCTGAAGTGAAAAGCTGCTGCAGCTTAATGTTGTTTTGATGTCTGATTGTAGAGACAAGCTGAGCAAGGATGAGGGTGCTGCTTGGAGTGTGCTGCTGCTGAATGTGGCCTGCAGAAGTTGAGAAATGTGAGCAGAGTGTTGCTGTTTTCTCAGTTAGATTTTTATATTCTCCTTCTATAGGTGTGTTGAAGGAGGGAAGGTTTGTTGCTTTTCTTCAGGGCGTAGCTGGTTTTAAAATTATATATGCCACCGTAACCATCTCCCTGGCTGAATATGTTTTAATAGTCTTAAACGGTCACAGCCTGTTAATATATGTGTAAGAAGGTTCTTGTTTTCATTGTAGTTGTCAAAGGAATTCCTTAGACTCTTGAAAATTATGCTTCATGCTATTTTTAGTATTCTGGGAGAGTTTTCTTAGTTCCACAAAGCTTCAATAACAGTTGTTATTCTATGTAGAATAGACTAAGATACCACTACAAGTACGTAAAGCCTTTTAGCTATAAAATAATAAGCAAATAAAGGTTAATTTATTATTTGAGAGATTCCAAGCTCATTATAGTTTCTTATTAACGATATTTTAGAAGGAGACCCTCAACAGAGTTTCTGAAGTTGTTCTTCTTGTTGCCAGGTAGCTAATTCCCTAAACTAATTATTTCAAAGCCATTTGTTTTCTTAGTGTTAATCAATTACAGCAATAGTTCTGGCCATCTGCCTTTCTGTATAAAGAATTCCAGGTGTTCATTGATTTTATTAGGAAGTTTTTACATGATATTTGCTTATAGATTCAAAATACTTGCAAATATGCAAGTATTGAAAACAAATGTAAAAATACAATTATCGTCTTCTGTAAAATATTTTCTGAACTTCAGTGGTTTTTAGTCTCAAGAATAAAAGGATTGGAGAGGTCCTTTCAATAAATCTTCAGTATCTTTGAATAGGCTTAAACTTCTTTTTCTTCTACAGGTGGGTAAAATCTCTTAAGGTCCTGATTCTGCCAATTTATCTTTTTTTATTTTTTTGTCCTTGTTCTTTAGCAGAATTTACAAATTACCCTATCTTAGATAAAATTTACACTTCATAAGAATAGTTCTTTGGCCAGTGAGTATCTTTATTGGAGTGGTGTGCCTGTGGGTTTTTGTATGTTGATAAAATGACAGTTTCTTGTAGATCCAATACATCTCCAGCTTATGTTATTGCAACAGTGTTTAAGTAATGAGCACGTTTATGTTTTCCGGAGTTAAACTTAACGTGTGTTAGTGTGAGAAGAGGAAATTGAAAATACTTCGTTTTCAGCTGAATAAACATGTTATTCTTTGAATATTTGGTCATCGTTTCTGTTCTTCTAAACAAAGCACTGCTTTTAAGATAGGCTGTATTTAATAGAAAGAGTTGCGTGCACGTGAGATTTCTGTTCTCAGAATTTTATAGAATTATGTTACTAGATTAATCTTTGATGGTTGCTGAAATACATTTACCATAGAATACTTGGTGTGAAAGTTGCAAATTACCTTTCTCCAGGTAGAGACTCAATCGAAGAAGAGATTCAATTTACAGTCAGTTTTTATTAGGATGCTCACCAGTTAAGCTGTTATCAATAGCCACACAGTGCTGTAACTTACCACGTTACATAGTTGAAGCAGAAGTTGGAAGGCCAGTCCTGGCTGCTTGCTCGTAAGTGGAAGGTTGTAGTGGTGGAAGGTTAGGTGCCTGTTTGGGAAGTCTTTTAGGGGCTCCATTCTTTCTTTGAGTCCGTATGTAATCCCGTGGTCTTCGCTTGCTCATAGCAGCAACCAAGTTTGTGGATGTTACCTGAATCATACAGCATGTTGATATTGGTGTCTGTGCACACCCTGGTGACCATGTGCAGATTTAACTGCTCTTCTGAGTTTATCCATTGTTACAAATTCAACAGGACTGTTTTTCTCTGGAGCTTGTCAGTCTTTCACGTGCTGCCTCTGAGCACATTCTTCTTGCCTTAGACTGTTGTGTTCTAGCAGCTATTGCCCCATCTGCTCGCACAGGTACTTAAAAAACTCCCAAAGACCCATACAGAAAAGGGTCTGTTCTGGCATTACTGTTACTGAGAAGATATGAATATCTGCATGAGTGCATTTTTGTCTTAAAGCTGTAATACACCATGGCTCTGTGGCTGTAGCTACCTGTTTGGTTTTTTTCACCTTTTTATAGAAAGTAGAATTACTTTGTCATGGGTATTCATTCCATGGTGTTCATGTACCTGCATTTATATTTTTATGTGTATATATTTATGTGTTTGCTATATATGAAGATATTTCTGGTGAAAGAGAAAAAAAAACAACAAAACCTCTTAAAGCTGTACTTCTTCTACATATGGCAACAATGGGTGTTCCTGTGTTCGAGTCCTACAGTAGGAATAGACTTTCTGGTGACTCTGCTAACCTACTTGGTTGCAGTAACAATGCTGGTATAGTGGCAAGCAGCATGTAGGAGAAAATGAAGCTGAAATGAATGAAGAATGGCACAATACTATGTTTTCCGTTAACTCTTGCTAGATTCAGGGCAAATGTTCTCCCCTTCTGCCTTCCTCTAATTTTTTACAGTCAAGAAGCTACTCTCCTTTCTGTGGCTCTTCTCACAGAGTAAGATCTGTACAGCTGTTACATCAAATTCCTCATTTGTAAAGAAGTGTTCAATCCTGTCCTAAGAATATGCCTCTTCCCATTTCTTTTCTTTTTTCTGTAATTCCATACTGTACTTCTGTCTTCTTTGGGCACTCATCCATAATCTTAGGTACTGTGTTCAAGTGTTCACGTATCATTTCGCTAGATTGATATTGATGCTAAAAAAAAAATCAAAAGAATTCTGTATTCTTGGCTTCCTTGGAGTACTTCTGTTGTTCCCCCAAAACTCAGTCACTGTGAATAGGCTCTTTTAGGTCCTTTGGGCAAAAAGATGAATGAACTAATGAGCCTGATGTCAAATCTAGCCTGTGAACTTCAGAGGGGAGGAAATTTCATTATCTACAGTCCTTTCTTTTTTTAAAGCTCACAGCTTGCTAGCCCATATACAATTCTATAAAGTACTCAGAGGAGTATGCCTATTTTCCAGGGAATGTATGCAAAAAAACAAAAACAAACAAAACAAGATGGCTAAGACACCAGTACTTTAAGCTTTGTTAATAAATATTAATAGCTTGAGTTAAATTCAGAACAAATGATCATCAATAAAGCTTGTGTGACACCTGTGTGAGAAGTTCTGTTTGAAATTCTGTCTAACAGCAGAGCAACTAAAATAAGTTAGTCTCAAGAGTGTAGCTTTGTGCCCTGGACTGTAGAGTTAGTGTGAAAATACCAAATAACTTCAAAAAATCCCATGTAAAGACAATCTGAAGTCTGACCATATGAAAGCTTTCCTGAGAAGGAAGGCATTGGTTTCGGTAAGGCATTTCTGGTTTCACTGGGTTACTTGTACTATGTTGCGCTTCATAACATGTGCTACCTAAGCTAAGAATTGCAGTCAGTTTTGTCTGTTATCTAGTTGTAGCCAAGGAAATTCAATTCCTGTGCTCAGATCATTTTCTCTGTGTCAGGATATCCAAATATTTTTCATAGCTATCCATGTAACATTTCAGGGAGTTGTTACTGCATAACGCTCTACTTATAAAGCATATATAAGTCAGGTATAAAGGATCATAAATTGTTTTTTTCCTTTTTACTAGAAAATAAACTTACTTTGTTTCTGTTTAAAGATGCAACAATAGCTGAATTTGAAATGTTCATAAGGACACCATGAAATGTTTTCTTATTTGTTGTGGGTATGATGGTGCAGATAGCGCCAGTGAGTTTCTTGCTATAAAATTTTTTAACTAATAATTAGATTTGATGGGATATTAATTGTAACTTTATCATAAATAGAGCCAAGATTGGTCATAAAACTAAAATACCCCTAGTATAATTTCATTTTAGTGATTGAAATGATTAATCCAAAGATTTTCATTTTTTTTTAAATGTACGACTGATTCTTCTTGCTGATTCAGATGTTAGAGAACTTCTGATACGTTCTGTTAAATTATCTTCCTTTATGATCTGAATGAATGGTGTATAACTGTATTTTACAAATTGATTGATCTTTGGTTTCTCCTCAGGAAGTGTCACTGCAGCAGACTGCACAGCCCACATCAACAATAGTTCGTCCAGCATCGCTACAGGTTCCTAACGTTCTACTTACAAGTTCAGACTCAAGTGTTATTATTCAGCAGGCAATACCGTCACCAACGTCTAGTACTGTTATTACCCAGGCTCCATCCTCTAACAGACCAATAGTGTAAGTTACATAAATCTTGATGAATGCTTTCTTACTGATTCTGGAAAGATTGTCTTGTTAACTGTCAATTACTGTTTCTGTGGTTATTATACAGCTTTGAGATGCTTGGGTGAAAGTGGTGCTTCTCTATATGTGAAATACTATTCCGTATTCTTCACATCACCAAGTTCATATTTTTAGTCTCTAAATATTACATTAAAACTGTTTATTTGGTATATATTTATACAATGTATAAGCTTGTTCTCTTGTCTGGATAAGTTTTTTCTAATACATGTAATTCCTTTTTCAGTCCAGTTCCAGGCCCGTTTCCACTACTGTTACATCTTCCTAATGGACAAACCATGCCTGTTGCTATTCCTGCATCTATTACAAATTCTAATGTGCATGTCCCTGCTGCAGTTCCAGTAAGTAAGCATGATATTACATTAATTTGAAAGTGTAGCAGGTTTGCATAAGTGCAGCATAGAACTTGAAACAGCTGTTTTAGTTTCAGAGGGTAGTGGTGTCAAATACTCTGTATTATGATAACATACTCAGGCTTTCTTCATTTTTATACTTTATCTGGTCAGCTTGTTAGACCTGTCACCATGGTGCCTAGTATCCCAGGAATCCCAGGGCCTTCCTCCCCACAGCCAGTGCAGTCTGAGGCTAAATTGGTAAGTGAAAAACTCCATTATTCCTCAAGAAGACTAACTTGAGAAATTGATTAAATTTTATTGCTTTTTAGAATGGCTTTAGTTTTCTTTTCTTAGTCTAAAACCTGCAACTACAAATTTAATGAAATTGAAGAATAGCTGCATTTGGATTATAATTATTTTAAATTCCACTGTATGTCTTTCTTTTAAATGGTCTTCAAATGAACTCTTTCTTGCTTCTTGCATTGGAGGACTAGAAATGTTAGTAGTTAAAAGAAAGACAGATATAGTAGCTTGTTGATGGTGAACATCATCTTCAGAGAAGCAGAATGTAGTTCTTTCTGAAAGATGTGATGTTTCTTGGTTTAAAAAAAAATATATATATATATGGGAAAAGAAAGTGTTGCGTTAACAATGTTTTCAGACATATAATCAGACATATAACAATGTTTTCAAATATAATCCAGTTGACAAATTTTTTTGTAATATGCTACTGACATACTTCAGAAGTTGTATTGTGTGTTTTCAGTTGTGTGTGGGCTATTTGTTAAGGGGGTATTATATGGGGAAATTGTGAGTAAAACAGGCAGAGATTTAAAAAGGAAAAAAAAATTAGTAATCAAGTTATGCTGGTAGTTTGAATTAAGTTAAAAATTGTCAGTTGCTTTGCTTTTTTTGCTGGCTTTTTCTTATTGCCCCAACTATTTAAAAAGCATATTATTAGTAATAATCAACCCACTTATCTAGGTATCAACAGAAATGTAAAATGCTTTTGTCTTGTGAAGCAGTGTTCCTCTTTTGAGGAATAAAAAAGAATCAAGAACACCTGCCAATTTTTTTTTTTTTTAATTTTTATTTTGTACAGCAATATTGTTGAGTGGAAGGATTATCTTAACATTCTTTGTCTTATTTCTCTTTACCTTTTCTTACCCATTCTCTCTTCCCAAACTTTTCCTAATTCTGTCAGGTTATCCTTTCAGTTTCATTAAAATAGTGTAGAGAAGGACAGAAAAGGATAAAACTCTCTTTCATGCATCCTTGTCCCACTAGGAATAGATTTGTGGAATCACAGAATTGCTTGGCTGGGCAAGAATCTTAAAGCCCATCCAGTTCCATATGTGGGCAGGGTTGCTACCCACCAGATCAGAGCCCTGGCCCCTATCCAACCTGGTCTTGAACATCTCCAGGGATGGGGCATACAGAACCTCTCTGGGCAGCCTCCTGTACCACCCTCTGAGTAAAGAATTTCTTCTCTTAACATCTAACCTAAATCTGCCCTCTTTTTGGTTAAAAGAATTTGCCCTTGTCTTATCATATCAGACTACATAGAAAGTCGTTCTCCCTCTGTTAATAATCTTCTTTCAATAACTTAAATACTCTTCTCCATGCTGAACAAGCCCAGCTCCCTCAACCTTTCTTCAAAGGTAAACTGCTCCAGCCCTCTGTTCATCTTTGTGCTTATTCTTGACCTGCTTCAACAGCTTTGCTTCTTTCTTATACTGGGGGCCCCGGGCCTGGTAATAACTTCAGTGTAACCAAGTCTGATGGGATGAAATTTATCTTAAATATAGCAGAGAAGAAGGTAAAAAAAGTGAAAATGAGGTTTGTTTTTCCCCACAGATATTGCACGTTTATAGTTATTAGGAGACTCGTGTCAAGTTTTGCTTTGTGAAATAAGGATAAATTATTACCTAATATGTATTTCTCATTGTTGGGCAAGAAATTAGGTTCTTAAGCAGATTACTCTTGAGCGATCTGTCCTTAGGAAGCTTTAGAGCAGGGGAGAAAATACACGTATGTAGTGAAGATTTTGATTTCTCACTGGAAGAAGCAATCACTTGGATGCAAAGAAAAACAAAGATCTTTAGACTTAAAATTTAATAGTCTCATTAGTCTTCTCGTTAGAATTTAGCTAATATATGCACTTCAGTGATTGCCTATCTTTTTTTTTAAAATGAGACTGTAAAAAGTATATTTGCAGTTATTTCTTCTTTCTTTCCTTGTTTCCTAATACAAAGCATGAGCAGAATTCAAGAATATCAGAATTATGTATATTTCTTATGCTCATTTACTTTTATATAGTGTCTATTCATGAAAATAAAAACCTTAATTTTTTATTGCTCCTCAAGTAAAGGCAACTTAATGAGAATTTTAACGTTTATGCAGAAAAGCTTCCAAAAGGAAGACTAACTCACTATGCCATGTGATGCATTGTTGACAGATATGTTATGGTTTATTAACTGTAAAGTTTCATTTAATTTTAAAAATCCAAATCTTTTGTGATGCCAAGTACTTTCTTTTATTTAATTTTTTCTTATATCTCTTGAATAATATTTTTTCTTGCAACAGACCAAATTCTTCAAAGGTATAGTATCAGTTCTATTTTTCATTTGTGTTCCGGGCTAAGACAAGAAGTCTTCATTATCTATTTTTGCAACTACTTGTTTTCTTTTCATTTTATTGATAGTTCTCCTGGAAGGTGAAATATAAACTATTCTATTAGTTAAATTTATTCACTGATCAAATGGTGTATGTTTCATCTACTAACAGTAGACTGCAATTTATGGACTTATTGGTATATTTAAAAAGCAGAAGGTAGGGAGCAGTTCCTGCATCCAGTTCTCTGGGACAAAGCCTGTCAGCCTGATATTCTTACTGTATTTTTAAATGGAATACTGAATGAAAGGAGACAGCTGTGATGTTGCTCTCTCAGCAATCAGGGCATAGGAGTCAGGATTTTTATAGATCTTTGCAATTCTCTTATCTGTTGGGTTTGTTTTTTTTTTAATTATTTATTAGTTGGAGATTTTTTTGTACTTTACAGACAAATGTAGCAGTCTCTCAGATACTATTTTTCATACTGCATTATAAAATGTAGGAACAGAATATGTAGCAAATATTTAAAAAAATAAATAAATGTCTTCCTAACATTGCATCTACTCTGCAGATATTAAGGTAGGTTTTATAATGTATGAGTTGCAAGACAGGGGAAGTTCATAGGTTTAATGCAACTCCAGAAGGTTTTGTCATGTAAGCTTTTGGCCATAATTGTTTAAACCTTACTTTTATTTAAAGTCCATAGTTTCCTAATGCAGTAGTCTGCATTTTCTACTGTCCATATGTATGACAATACTATTTCAAGGTGTTCTTAAGACAGATCTACCTGCTTCAGAGATTTGGGGTAAAATTCTTGAAATGTTAGAAGCAGCTTTTTCACTTGAAGATGCAATAGCCTTGTATTATGGAACTATACCAGGTACAGAGCTGTCCTGTGTAACAGACACAACTCTGTGTGTTTTAGCTAAAATACTTGGCACAAAGCAAGGTGGGAACCAGGCGCTTCCCTTCATTTATACTTTGTGCCTTTCTTTACAGAGGTCATTTCTGCCATTCTTTTTTTTTTTTTGCATGATGTTTCAAGGAGCTGAGATATGTTAAGAGTATGATCAGAAAGCATGTTGTGCTCTGATTTGGTTCCTCACCCCAATTCTTCATTTCTCTCTTAAGTGTTTACAAAAGGCCACTGCTACGGATATTTACATTTTTGTATTTGTATTTTGGTTACCACCAATGATTGTAGAGGTTTGGCATTTAAATATTAATTTAATACTTAACGTAATTTCTACTGATCGATGTAAAAATATCCAAATTTTCTTATTATTTGATGAATACCTATTTTTATGAGCTACTTGTGAACTGCATATACCAAATTGTATATACAACATCATACATTTATTTTTATTAAATCATGAGTCAACTACAGTAAAAACAAATTGAGTTTCTGATTTCTAAAAGCTAAAGGCTAATATAACTTGCAGAAGGCTTGTTTCATAATTGGTGCAGGGTGCCTCCCTGGAGCACAATTAAGGTTTTACTTCAGCTGTCCTGGGAGTTTATAACCCTTAAGAGACCTAATATAGTTGCTGAGTAACTCCCCCACTCCAGCCCAAAAATGAACAGCTTTTTGAAGTCAGTTTCTAAGTGGGCTCTCTTCATTGTATTCTGGTGTCCCAGCTTAGTGCACAATAATCTGATTTGATCAAAAAGTTTTCAATCTGATATCAGAGTCCTTCAGAATGACAGTTCTGATTTTTTGTGTGAAGAGAGTTATTGAGTCATGACTTTGAGAACACTGTTCTCTCTTTGTTGAAGTTGCTGGACGTTAAATAATCAAATGCATTCTGTGGAGGAACAGCTGCATATGAAAACGGATTCACTGAGTGTAATAGCAGACAGAAAAAAATCAACCAATTGCAAGTAATACAACTGCAAAGCAGATAAGATAAAAGCCACAAGACAGAAATACTGTACTGTCTATGTAACAATCCACATCCTTACAGTTGGTGACCTTGTTGCATACTGTTCTCAACTCCAACAGCTAAGATTTAGCGGAGAAAGAATGTGTTAAGTACAATCTTATCTGTGTTAAGTACAATCTTATGTGTCTGCTTCATCACTGGAACCTATACAATATTACATAAACAATATCATATATGTTTCAGTGCAATAGGATAATTGTGTGCAGTTGGATTGCATTTTTATTTCATTGTACACTGTTAAGCTACTGTAGCAAATATGTGTTCCGTTCACACCTGTAACAGGCACTGTAACTGCAGTTTGAATATGATTGGAACCTGTAACTCTTGTTGCTTGCAGAGTTGATTGAAATATGACTAGAGATTTTATTCAAGCACAACCTTTTGTCTTCTGCTGGTATTTTTTCCAGTGTATCCTTGTTAATGTACAGTAGGAAGTGACAGTAGGAATGAAAATGGGTTTCACATTTCTGCAGTGCACTGAAAATAACATGTCTGCTTCTATGGCATGATTTCATATTTGTTGTGCTGAGCAAACTAAATGCTACATAGTTTAGTAAAATAAAATGAATGGATTAGTCTCCTAATATTTTAGGAAATGTTAGAATTGGATGTAATAGCTGTTTGAAAAACAAAGCTGCTCAGGTAAGGGGTGCTTGGATGTTAACAAGATGGTGTTTAAAGGTTCCTTCCAACGCAGACTTCATAATTCTAAGTACTGCATCGTTGCTTCTGATCTGTTTGTGAAAAGATCTGAAACTGTGTGCTTTCAGAGATTAAATCTGAGCCGTGAGCTGTTCCTAGTTGTAATGCATTCCTTTTTCCTGAGTGTATGGATTGTGGCTGCAAACCTAATGTTCATACCCTTCTGCGTGGGTTGCAGAAGTTTCTCAGTGAAAGAAAAGTTGTTCTAACTTTTACACTGAACGATTCCCTTGCCTCCTCCCCATGTAAAATCTTTTGTCACAAACTGAGAAATACCTTGCACACAGTGGGCTTTCTGCAGGAGGTTTCTACTGAGAATTGACAGGGCAGCTTGGCAAATGTTCAGAAGCCTGCATTAACTTGCTTGAGCCCGGTATGGGACCCTGTGTTCAGCAGAATTCTTCTGACCTGTCTCTCTGCATGCCGAGCTAATCAGCAAACACCTAATGAGCCTACTCTAAAGAAACAGACCCTCTCACAACCTACTTCATTTTCATATGTTCTCTGGGGGTGGAGAGACAAGTCTTCATAAGGACTGATGATGCTGCAAAGACCACAATAATGATAATTAACTTGCTGAATTTAGAAGATTATGCTGTTAATTAGTTGCAAAATAAAGATAAGTAATAGAGCAGCAGATGGTAGGATAACACCCAGGAGAAGGAGGGTTATTACTCTGATGAGCTTTTGTGGCAGATATGAAATATGGATCTGAGTTTTTCATGAATTGTTTCTGGAGAATATTATCTTGTTTCTGTGAGCTCTTGATGGAATGATCTAGTCCTACCAAATTTTGACAAATGCGGTGAGGATTTGTTTTCAAAGATATACATGAACAATAAAACCTTGCTAATCAAGACTTTGAAAGCTATTAAGCTATTTGAAAATACCACTTCTAGATTGCCCCTAGTAAGCAAAAAATGTTAAACCCAGTTTTTTATCAACTTTTCCCACACATTAATGCTGATGTATGTTTATGCTAATATTTGTTTCAATATACTGGATTTTTCAAACTGAGATTCCCAAGATTCCCATAGTGTTTGATGTCTCACTATTCACAGGAAGTACAACATCCACACAGTATTTTGTTCCAGCATTACCTTCTGAGAAATTAAATGCTTAAATTGAATATCCTTGGAGAATATTAATACTTGTAATAATACTTTTCATGTTATTTCTCACTTTTTTGATAGTTTTAATCATAACTATTATTTCAACTTTGAAACTGTGATATAAAGCTAAAGCCAATGATTTTGCACTTCTTTTCCCAAAAGCTTTTAATTTGATTTAACAATGTAATTTTCGAAAGAAGTATATTTATTTACAAACATACAAAACAATAATATTTGAATGTTAGCATTACAGTATAGAAAGCTCTCCTTTATTTGTATATCCCTATGCTTATATGTTTTATAAGTAGTACTTTGATATTTACTTTACTTTTGCCATTTTCAAATTAAATGGGCAACATAAAAATGTAATAGCATTAACTTTTAGTTTAACTTTGTAAATATGTCTGTAACACAGAAATGAGGAGTTAAAAAATGAACCTGGACAATAATAAGTTATTTGCCTTATGTGAGGAAAACCACAAAAAAAAACCAAACAACAAAAGTCAAAAGCATCTCAAATACTAGTTATTTTTATTTAATCTTCCACATTTTCTGACCTGAGTCAGTTTTTTGCTAGAGAAGTGGATATGCTAAGTGAAACTTACTTTTTTTGTGTGTGGTGGATGCTTACATCAAAGTTTGCTCATACAACCACAAACAGAATTGAACAGGCACGCAGACCATCCACATACTATTTCAGTGTTTATGCTACACTGCCATAAGCATTAGAATTTAGCTTATTGTTGTTGTTGAGCTTAAATATCCAGACAGTTGAGATGGATGAAATCTAATCACAGTGGAAGAGGAGAATGCCTTTGTATGGTAAGTTACTAGGTTGTGGTTGAGTAATTATTAATGGATAGTAACACCTTGGGGGTTGCCCAGAGAAGCTGTGAATGCCCCATCTCTGGTGACGTGCAAGGCCAGATTGGATGGGGCTCCCAGTATCCTGATCTAGTGGCTAGATGAAGATGATCATCAAATCAATGTTTTAATTTTTGTAATTAGATCATGGAGTTTGTTTCAGTAGTTTCGGTTAGAAAGTACTGGGACCATTCTGTTCTTGTTTAACTGGAGGCATGGACTGAGTTTTTTTGGTAGCCTGCGTTTCCAAGGTGAATTAGGAAGGTACAAGTTGTCAGTTTGCTTTGCTATTGTAAATAAGTTAAAAACTACCTAAGGCCTTAGGATTTCCAGAGTACTGATATGTTAAGTACCACTCAGCATTAAGAAAGTTTTGGCAGATTTGTAGACAAACTGACATCTTATCTCAGTAATTTTACCACAGTAAATTAAACCAATCCAAAACTTACTGTCTCTGTATTTCTGTAGGTTGGCTGTTTGTTGTTCATACTCTTTAATTAATAGTTCAAAAGTCAGATTGTTTATAATTTGAAGCTACCACAATACATGGAGAATTTGTGTGCAACTGTTATTTTGCAGTGTAAAGCTTTTGAATCATTTTACTCATATTTTGCTAGTGTAAAATGTCCTGTATTCTTAAAAAGATGGAAGTGCCTGAAAGGTCCCACTTAATGATTCCAGTTAGTGGCTTATCAGTTAGAACTAGGTTGTTAGAAGCCAACTATTTACCTAATGGAATAATGTATAAAGGTATACAGAGTGTCCATACAAAGCTGTAGGGGATCTCTTAGATTCTTGTTTTTGAGAAATGCATTTGGAATTTGAGTGGGGTGATGTGTGCTGTCACACTCCATATAGAGCAGTTCCTATCAAAGAGGCTACTAAAGAAGCTTACTGCCCTGGTAAACAGAAGTCACTGACTGGAGCTTCTCTAATAGGAAGCCAGCAAAGGAATGTTAGGATCTTCTCATCCTTCTCAGTTCTCTGTATAGTCTTTCAAATAGGATGTCTGCTGCTGGTGGTTATAGGCTACAGTCAACTATTTAGAGGATCAATTTGCCATATCACAAAGATTTTTTTGCAGTTTTGGCAGAGGTGGATCTGCAATCTGTTGCTTAAATGTGAAACAGGAGCCAGGAAATCCTATCAAGGAAGAAGAGAGCTATCACTATATTCCAATGGCTTAATCCTGAGAGGCCTTGGATACTATATGATAGCTGATACAGAGCATCTGTCTGCATGAATAGATGTAAAATCCTTTGTTTTTTTGGACTGACCGAATGCAGCCTAATTCCAGCCTTTTTAAGGCATTTTTTTAATAATTAGTACTTTACTGATATTTACTTCATATTCTAAACTACCTTGATACAAGAATTAATTAAAAAGATAATAATTAAATGTTGTTAATATTATACACAAATGTGTTTGGCATAAGGAATGTGATAGAAAATGGTTACTGTTATGAAATTGTCAACATTTAAGATAAGGACTCAAAATGGAAATATATGAGCCAGGTTCAGACCAAAGTATTGCAGCTGAGTACTATGCCAGTATTCCTGGTTCTGCATATATCACTGCAAGTGTTAATACAATACCAGTTTCAACAACTATTTCTTCATGCTTTCAAGTCATTTCTCTGTGGGAACTGTTCATTACCAGGGAGGTTTTTTTTGTTTCTCCATGCAGCTTATAGTGCTTTCTGAGATGATTGCAAGAAGTTATGATTGCAAGTAGATATACGTCTAGATTGCTGCAGAAAGCCTGTGAAAAACTAGCAAAAACATCTGGTAGTGATAGAGATGGAGTTCCTGTTTGCCAAGTGGAGTGGAACTAACTAATATAAATCATTCATAAGTCTCAAGTTATCCTGTGATTATGTAATTCTGTTACAATATTTCCATTATGTTGAGGGGAAAAAGAAATTTTATTTTCTTTCAGAGACTGAAAGCAGCCTTGACCCAGCAGCACCCTCAGGTAACAAATGGAGATACTGCCAAGGGACATCCGAGTGGGTTGGTTAGGACTCAGTCAGATGAGCCGCGACCACAGTCACTACAGCAACCTGCAACTTCAACAACTGAAACACCGGTATGACAACAAAGTAGAAATGCATTTCCTGCCCCCATTCCTTGTTACATAAAAACTTCTTTCTTTTCTGTTGTTTTACAAAGCAGAGCTTAACAAATACTGTGGAATACTCCCAGAGTTAGAGGTTTGAGGGAGAAATGGACTGCCCTGCTCCAATGCTGGCAACATCTTATATATATATATATACACATATATATATAGTTATGCAGCAGACTGCTTTTTTTATATGATTATATGTAATTTTGCCAGATTGTTATGTTAGTACTGTATGTGTTTTGCTGTCGTATCAATATTTGTGTAGTAATGAAGTGTTTATAATGATGCTCTTTCTAAAATGCATTATTCAAGATGATAATTTCAAAATAGGTATTATCTGTCTGTTTAGATTTAAAACTAACTCCTGATTTCTGGAGTGTGCTAACAGGTATTTTTGTAGTAACTGAAAATTATACCACTGTTTTTTATATAATCAAAAAGAACAGCTGACTTTATTTTGCATTTATATTACATCTGTCTACTCTATTTCACATCATAAGCACTCTTCTGAACTTTCTAACTGCATCAGGGATAACACTTGTGTTAATTGCTTTAAGGATCCTTTTTGGGCTTCCACAAGAAGAGTTTCAGTACTGTGTCTTTCTGAGCACTGAAAGGAGGTTAGTGAGCTTAGAAGTGGTAGTCTTTTCCTGTGGGGTGGCAGGTGAAAACAGAAAACAAAGGGACAAAAGCTCCAAGTCAGACTAGAAGTGTTGCTGGAAGAGGTATTTCCAAAGGTGAATCCTGGACAACTGCCATTCTGCTTCTAAGAAACCTGTCAGAAAAGCAGTTTCTTAAGAAAATATTTATAGGTGATTTTGGCCCTAAATAGACGGCCAGTGAAATAAATGCAAGATTTACTGTAAGACTTTGATGTGTTTTAGGGTTGTTTCCTAGTGCTCTTAAAAACTAAGATTATTACACCGATAACTTCTTTAATACTTCTTGTTGATTTCAGGCATCACCAGCTCAGCCTACACAACAAACACCAAATACAGGTGGTCGGCGAAGAAGAGCTGCTAATGAAGACCCTGATGAAAAAAGAAGAAAGTTTCTTGAGCGAAACCGAGCTGCTGCTTCCAGGTGCAGACAGAAACGGAAAGTCTGGGTACAGTCATTGGAGAAAAAGGCTGAGGACCTGAGCTCGCTAAATGGCCAGTTACAGGTATACTTTTTATTTTGAGTAAAAATGATTAAATCACTCTTGGACAGTGATTCTGCATCAATGAAACTTCAACTTTGCACGAAATCGGAAATGTAAACTACTTTTAAATGATGTCTCAGGTCAGAATTGAAAATCCAGTATTGAATCGCATATTCCAGAAAGTAAGAATATAAAAGAGTGTTCTGATTTTAAGATGTATAAACTTAGGATCATTCCCATTTGTCCTTGGTTCCATTTTAAATAACTTTCAGACAGTGATACTAAGTGACTTGATATGTTGGAGTAAAGGCTTAATAGCCTTACCTTAAAAAATGCCTTGGACTTAACAATTTCTATCACAGTCTGAGTTATTTAAATAACATTTCTTTTATTTCCTTTGGTTCTTTTTAACTTCACTGTTTTTTCCTTTAAAGTGAATGTAGTGCTCGTGAAAGGTGCCAGATTGACATCACTGGAAACTGAAGGCCTCTTTTGTCCACAGAACAGGTACAGCACAGGCAGTGTCAGTGCAAATTTCACCACACTGCCCTCCCAGTGTACATAACTCTTAGAGGGAGAGATGTATACTATAAGAGGGTAGTCTAGTATATATTACCAGTTATTTCTCCACACCATCAGAGGTTTCATTGGAAAGTTGTCATGTTGATGCATTTTTCCCCCTTAAACAATCCATGACCCTTTTGTTTAAATTGCTACTACTGCTAAAATATACTTTCTTAATCTTTTACCACAGCACGCAGGAATTGGAAGGAAGCATTGTTTCAAAATAAAAAGTCTAAAAGCATCATTTTAAGAATTACGGAAAGGAAAGCTTGATGTTGTTTCCTAAATAAAGCATTTGTTTAGAAAATTAATGAAAAGTAGTGTGGTATTTTAAAGTTTATCTCATTTCCTTAGAGTTTTTCGACGAGTCAAATTCACAGATCTTTCCTATTAAAACCCTCATTCGGTGCTATTGATGAAGATGTCCCAGCTCAACCAACACAATAGCAGAGCATGTTTTATCTTGTAATCAACATTAAAAAGTATTGGCCACCTTCAGTTTCCTGACTGGAATAGATTAGTGCATTTAGATGGGGCCTTCAAAGATCATTGAGTCCAAATGAGACCAAAGCATGTCATTGAGGGCATTATCCAAATGCTTCTTGGTCACTGACAGGCATGGAGCACCAGGAGCACTAGGAAGCCTGTTCCAGTGTTTGTCCAACCTTAAAGAAATTTTTCCTAAAAATAAAAAATACATCTAGTATGTCTTCAAAAATTTTCAGCATCAGTCTGTAAAATACAAGAAATTCATAGCTAAGCACATAATTTGAAATCATTAATCGTGTTCTAGAATCACTACCTGACATCATGGCATTACTTAACTTACTTGCAAATACATAATCTTCTCATATCTGTTCACAATCTGAGGACTTGACTTTAATGTAGTCATAGCCCTCACTGTAAATCCATTAATTGCAAAACGTAACACTATAGGTTAAAGAATCTAAGAAAGAAGTGAAGGTGTAGTATATTTTTCTTGCAGGAAGAAAAAACAACAAAAACAATTGGCTGTATTTCAGTTGTCTTAATGAAAATAGTTTTTGCTAAGATGAACTACCTTTAACTTGTACATATCCATTTTTATAATTGAAAACTATGAAAGTACCATATCATCATTTGTTAGTAACAAATTGTCACAGTGGGTTTGAAACCAATAATGAAAGTTGTCATACAGTTATACTCACACACACACCTTATTTACTGTAGCCGCTACTGTAGCAGCAACATTAGTTCCATACAGTTACAAAATAATTTAGTACTCTTTTGCTTATTAGAGCAATCCTAGTTTCATTCTGTGCATGTTCAAACATCCTAGAATAGATAAAATGTAGAATCAGACTTGTTTGCAGGTATTTTAATAAGAATAATGCATCCATATAAAGGTATGTAAATATACTACCTGATAATAATGTGGAAGAAAGCTAATGCTCTATTTAAGAAGTGCCCCGTAGCAGCAGTAATGATCTAGGGAAAAAAAAAATTAAAAAGCTTTGTCTCATTGAGAAGGCCACAGGTTTTCTCTTCTTTTCTCTTCTGCAGTTTTTCTGAATTGGTGTTTGTAGCATGATGTAGTTCTTGTTACAAACAAAATTAAGAGTGAGATTAGAATCTGAAGTCAGAAAGGAAATCAAGTTTTACACTTTGTTTTATGGCAAATGCTAAAACATGTTTCATCCTGGGACTTTGTCAGTAATTTTAATGTCTCCTAAACCGTTAGAATAACTGTGGCTGCCCATGTAAAATATTGTTGTACTTTATTTGCGTGGATTGCTTAGACCTATAATTGCATCTAAATCTTGATTGTGGTTTTTACTTATTTGTTTACATATCTGGAAACCAAAACATTTCCAGATTTCTAAGCAATAATTCTGTCATATCTCAAGAAAAAGGAATTCCTTAATTTGCCAAAAGCAAAACTGTTGATTGTGAAAAACAGAATGATTTGAAGAGTATTGAATGTCAGAGAAATAAACTATTATGTGAAAACATTCGTCCATCCTGAATTTCCCTAGTAATGTTTTACTTAATAACGGAACACAGCTGATCAGCGTAGTGGGCAGAAATGGTTACTTAGATTATATTTAATAGTAAACTTATTACATTTGGACTTTTGCCTTAGTACAGCTTTATGGACTGAGTGGCAGTGGTTAGTAGTGCTTGTTTAATATCTAAGTGACCTGCTGAGATGTCATTATTACAAAATGAAGTTAATACCAAAATGACTAGAAATTGCGTTGCAGTGCATAACACTTCTAACTTCTTTCAACACAGTAGTGCTCGTGTTATATTTGTGTCAAAGATTCTAATTATGTCAACATTTCTAAAACTGGGAGCTCTCTAACAGTACATGCAGATTTGAAGAGCTGTAGTTGGTTGATACATATTCTTTTGTTCCAGTTTTCTGCTTCCTTAGTTGAATTTGTGTATGAGAATGTAATTTATTCAAGCTTTTTTTTTTTTACTGAAATGAAGATTTCAGTGAAATTGTGTCAATAACATGTATTAGATTGGCCTTTATCAGTCTATACTATGGGCTACATATGTTATTTCATGCTTCCAACTTTTTGAAATACATTTATTGTTTTCTTTTTTGTGTTTTCTACTCATATGTTGACTCATTTAATGATCTGAGAATTGTTAAAACTTGTTGTGTTGCCTCTGTGCCTGTCCTGAATATGGTATGCTATGTTACATGTTCTTAAGTAGCTGTTGACCATGTGTGCCCAGCAGCTGCTCAGTGCTATTGCAGTGTCTGATACTAAAGTCTGTAGCATGTTCCCTATTTGTTCCCTATCACTTTAAAAACTTCAAAGGACAAAGAATTAGTGAGTTTGTGTTACTTCTGTGTAGTAGAAGAATGTGTAGTAGAAGAACCTTCCTTAGGAGGATCTTTCTGGGCTTTAGGAGACATCCCTTATCAGCAGCTGGTGGTTTGTGCTACTGCTGCAGGAGCTGCTTTAGGAAGGCTATATAAAAAATAAAAGCACAGTCCATTATCCCCATAACTGCCACACCTGCCTGTCTCTGGTAATCAGCCTGGTAAATATACCTCACAAATGTTGCCCAGCACCTAGCTTAATAAGGGTTAATCTGGTCCCATTATTACATGTGTGTTTTGAATGCAGGGAAAATAGGCAGATGCAGAAGAACATATTGTACACAGTGCAATATACTGTGATGTACAGAAGGGAAAATATCTTTTGAAAAATGGAGTACAAGTGGAAATAGATGTGCTTTCCTCCAGAATCCTGCTTTCCCATGTTAGCGTGCTTTTTAAATGTGTGAACATAAGAATTCTGCTAGGTAGAATCCGAAGTATATTTCATGCTTGTTTAAAGAAACACTGATACCTGCTCTTGACTTAATAAATGAGGAGGGCTGTTCATCTTCTGTGTGCAAAAAGTTTCAGTCTTTCTTCGTGCCAACTGTTGAATTGTTTGTTCTGTGTGTTTCTTCTTGTTAGCTTATTTTCCATAAAGGCCACCTGTTAACATATTTTGAAAGAGCTGGAAGGATGTCATATTGTCAGATGCATGATAAGAAAACTGCAAGGTATATAGAAGTTGATTCTAATAACCCACTTTATTATCAGTCCAAAGTGGCTCTTACTAGTAGCATGTAAATGGCAGCTATTGATTTGTCTCTCCTTCACATTCCACATAGCAAATGTGTCTGGGACTTATTCTCTTCTGCTTTCAGGAATGGTTTGTAAGTGGAATATGATGCTATTGGCACAGTGTTGATGTTACTAGCAGTGCTAGCTATGTTTTCAGGGAATGTGCCTCAAGTTTTTAATTTAGTATAGGAATGCTCTTTTTTTTTTCTTTCCAAATCTGCTTTAAAATAAGGTATTTGCTTTTTTATATTCCTTTTAGCAAGGCACTGCCTTCTCAACTGTTTTTCATGAATACTAGATTTATTTACACTGGTAAACAGCTGCTTCATTTTTATATATGCTGTTTGTGTATAAAATTCTTCCTTAAATAGGGGAGATGAAGATAGAAACTTTCTGAATACTTTTTCCTGATTTGATCATTTATTTTGCCAGTGTTCCTTTAAACTAACAGAAGTATGATTCATGTTCTTGGACATTGCTGCTTCTGTACATTATCAAGAAGTATCTCAAAACTACATCAGCACTTTTCTGTATCAGTTCTGTGCAGCTGCCTGGTTGGCATCCAGACGTGGATCCTCAGTAAATAACGTGGTGAACTAAGAGATCTGAAAGCTGGAGGCACAAGTAGAGTGCTCTCTTAACAGCCCTGGATTTCAGGACATACAATTCCAGATGGTAGAGCTTTTGTAGGTGATGTGTTTTTTGTGTTTTTTTTTTCATTACAACCTTTTTCTTTGTAATCACAGTTCTCTTTTATTAGAAACATCAGTGAAGTCAAATTTCTCTCTTTCAGCTCTTCTTTTTGCTTTAAAATTCCTGCACAGGATATTTGGCACAGTAAAATGACTGAACAGAAAATTAGTCCTTAATAATTTTTTAAAGAAGATTTTGCAGATATAAAATTGGTCTTCTACTTAGAGGGAGAGGGCACGAAGAAAAGCTGTGTCATACAAATCTGATATTTTAGCTACAGTATTTTTGAATTATATTATCTAGTGTAAGTACACCAAATAAATTCTATTCTTGAAAATGTTTTCATTATTTTAGAATCCTTTTAGTTATCATTCATCTCTTCTGACTGGACTACCTTAGCTTACATGGACAGATCGACATTTGCATGGGTTTTTTTTCCACATAATTTTATTTGTAATCCAATTTTCCTATGTTTGCTTTTCTTTAAGTTGCTTCCAAACGCATAAACACTTATATTTTGCATATATTTTACTTACGTGCGCAGATTTGTATGGTTTAAATAACTTCAAGTATTTCATATCAGTGGAAAGGACTTACATTTAAAATAAATTAACACCTGAAAAGATATCACATATCAGGATGTGAGGCTCATAAAGCACTGCAAATAACATGAGTCTGTAGATACCTACCAGTTTTTCTAATGTTCTAAGTGAAAATGAATCTCTCACCATGCCACTGTTCTTAATTTGGAGTGTCAGTGTAGTTATGTAGTGTTTCTCATTCATAGATATCAAATTCTTTTACAGAGAAGGTAAGTACCATTGTTCTCCATCTTACAAATGGGGGAAATTGCAGCACAAAGAGGAAAAATGACCTTCTTCAAGGTCACCCAGTAGTGGAAAGGCACAGCCTGGAAACGAGCACTGTCACTAGGATTCGGCAAGTGCTGCCTCCTAGATTATGCTCCACTTTAGCGGTATAGACTGACACTTCAGGTTTTGTCATCATTCTTAATTATTCCTTCATACAATACTTGGTTTATACATGATTGTTAAGGAGAAATGTGAAAATCAACAGACATTTTCTAAATTATTTTCCATTATGAGGTTTTTAAAGTCCAAGTACAAATGTAGCTGCCAAAATCAATGCTGCATAGGCTTCTTATAAAAATAAGTGTATTATTGGTTGTGGCATCTGTTGAATGCAGGTAGCTAAATGTACATTTACTGTGGTTAGAATTTGTAAAACTCTGTAGGAGAGTCTTGCAGTAGCTGGATCATGTGAATGTGAATATAAGTAGACTGTGCATCTGCAAACAGAATAACATGTATTTTCCATAAAAGTGTTTCCTAATTGAAGGAAATGATAAAGTAAAGTTAATCGAATTTCAGATAAGAAGTATTGTAAGATTAAAAAAAAAAAAAGCATACATTTTTGCTATACATACACCAAATGGAAAATTCTTGTATTTTATTTACCCTTAAATGATCAACTGAAAATCCTATAAAACTTAATACTTACTTTCAAAATGCGTGTAGTTTGAGCCTGGTAAAGTACATAACTTTCTTCTCCTTTAGAATGAAGTCACCCTGCTGAGAAATGAAGTGGCACAGCTGAAACAGCTTCTTCTGGCTCATAAAGATTGCCCTGTAACCGCCATGCAGAAGAAATCTGGCTATCATAGTGAGTAATGTTCCATTACCTATAGCCTTAGTCTGCGTCAATGAAATACTGCCAAAGTGAACTGAATCAACATTAAAAATAAGAAGTGCGGTTTTAATATTACACTAAAGATATTTTTTTTAATCTCAAAGGTTATTATAAGGCAGGAATGTATATGGAATATTGAAGAATATATTTTTAAGTCTTCTCAGTTGAATTGTTGCATATCATTGAGGGTTTTATGTTGGTTTAATAAATGCATATGGTAATTAGCATATATGGACTGTAGGCTACTACACCTGCATTGGAAAATATAATTAAAGTATTAAGAGCACATGATAAACCATTTTTGTATACTTTATCTTAGCCTAGTACAGAGAAAGGTCCTTGTGGGTTTTTTCTGTATCGTAATGAGATTTCAGAAAAGGTAATACAACAGCTGTCCTCATTTACCATAACATCCAGGATCACTCAAGCTGTTAAAGTAATCAGATGCAGGTTTGTGCCTCCTACTGTACAATCTCTTCTAGGCTGTTCTGATTTCCACGTTAAACAACCTCTTTTAACAGGGTATTTTAAAAAGGGAATATGAAGGGAATACCAAATGCTTCAGTTAGCATTTATTTTCTAATTCATATTTTTACTGAAAGTTGCTCATTTGATTTTTATCCTTCCAGCATTTTAAAGGTTAATTATGCTTTCCTGATTTGTAACTTCATTTTTGGATATGATACGCAGCACCAGAACCAGCTGCTGCTGCTGTAGAATAAATGGCCAATTTTGTCCATTGTACACAAATTTGTTACAAATAACTGAGCCGGGAATGCATTAGGCAACATTCATAATATATAACCCACAGCTTTCGTTTTTATGATTTAGTGATATTTCAGGATATTTGTAAATGTGAAGATTGTTTCTGCCATATGTAGCCACTTCATTTTAATTTGCCAGTGTCAGTAATTCAGGAGAATAAAGGAACATTTTGTATTGCATGCAAACAGATCCTCAGGTGCTTGCGATAAAACTTAATGGCCACCATCTTTACTTGTAGTCATTGTAAGCAGTTTCATCAGAATGGGCAATATTTTTTAATTTAAAAGATTCAGGAGATTTAGCAACTCTCTCTTGCCACGTATACTTGGAATACTGATTTTGTCAGTTTTGAGCTTATAAATCTTGGTCCTTTGATCTCCAGTCATTTTGACAAGACAGAAAATAGCATCTTGGAGCAAATTGGAACAGTATGGAAATATGTTTGGGATTTATATTAACAATGATTGCTGCAGGGATGAGGCCATTATGGCTCCCATCTGACAGCACAACATAATTTCATACAGGAGCCTACTAGGGGATAACATTATGCATGCAAGATTTTCTGGGGAAAAAAAAAACCAGCCTAACAATCCCCTCCCCCAAACCCCAAAAAGAGCAGCAACTGTAGATTTCTTGAATTTTGATGTTTTAAGGATACGTGTTCAAATATTTTTTATGCAAATTCAGAAATATAAGTCTTAAACTGGAAAGCTAAATATATGCTAAGGATTTCTTTGTTGAAATACTGATGACAGACTTCTTAGTGATACTGTATGCTTTCTGTCCTCTGAAAAAGGATTATAAGATTCCTGATTACTAAAGAAAACAAAATGAATATGTAATACAACACTAATCAGTGGAAAAAGACTACAATTTAGAAAAAAACTAATAATAGGAGAAAAATGGGCAGCTTAGCTCACTTACCTTCTTTTGGGTTTCGTTTTTTTTTTTGTTTGTCTTCAGTTTTGTTTTTTAATTTTTTTGAAAGTCAACGTTCAGCACAAAGGATGGTTGTAGTGACATCCTCCTGACAGAATGTTGTCACATCATCTTCATGTGAATACTGCTAGGAAAACATATTTGCTAACTGATTTACCCACAGTATAATTCATGGGTGGAAAAAATAGTTTCAGCTAATTTAGATGTTCCTGAAAACAGTGTTGACAAAGTATTTTTAAATAAACATATTAAGTTCAATTGCTTAAGAATGTATTGAGTGGTTTAACAGTATCTCTGTGGAAGAAACTGAAGACACCAGATTACAGCTCTCCTGCAGTGCTGAGTATTGCACACTGCTGAGATGGTGCTACTTTATACCAGGGAGACTGTATTTTAACAGCTAAGCCTACAATTTAATAGGGTTTCACTCATGATGCAGTATTGGCAGAAATAATCTATTGCTTTGCAGGATGTTTTTGACACCTACTTACGTATCTTATAAGATCCTTTGGATTTTTCAGGCACATTTTTGCCTTTTTGCCTCAGGGCAAGTGAGGAAAGTGTAACAGTGAAGATATCCTGAATTCTGAAAATTGCTTTTGAGTTCATATTTTCATTATTTAAAAAGTTTTGTGCCTACTTCCAAAAACAGAAGGTCAGGAAAAAAAAAATAAAGAATTATGGTGCTTCAAGGTACTGTGGGCAAAATTATTTCAGCTTTTGTGTTTTCAGATGGTTTAAGTTTTGGGGCTTTTTTTTCCTAAGCAAAAATGCTACTGCTTCTGAATTTATCTTTAAACACTGGGGTGTTGACATGTATGCAAAGAATTTAAATGAATTTATTTTTCATTTTACTTCTTCAAAACCAGATTATTTCTAAAAGTTTTCTGCAACTTGCAGATATTTTCCATTTTACTTTTTTCTGGACTTGAAGCAAGAAGGCTAAAACTTGTGAAAAGAAAATGTGAAAATTCCTGTTGGAGGAAAAAAAAAAAAAGTTTCAGGTGTTTTTCAAAAGGATGTCATAGTCTTCAAGAGCAGTTATATGAAACTCAATGTAAAAAAAGATAAATAGAGACCGTAAGGCAGATGGTAGTAAATGAAATTATGTGTTCTTTTTCAAGTTAGTTTTAAAGTAACAGTAGAGGTTAACTAACCAGTGTCAGACCTTGGATAACCCAAACTATTCAGGTGTTTCTACAGCCTGTTTTGTGTAAGCAACAATCCTTCAGTAAATTGCGAATATGCCTTTGCAGTGATGCAGCAAACTCAAGTCTCGAAATGATAATTTGCCAGTGAGGTCCTCTGTAGTCCTTCTGTAGTTGACAATTACCATAACGTTTCCTTTCTAGAGAATGTCAGAGGACTAGATCTGGATATGGGAATTATTATTCAGGTTTTTATTCTGAAGTTGCAACTCCTTCTTTGCTTACCATTGCTTACAGGCAGCTTTCAGCAATGTAAGAAGTAAATAATAGCAAGTTTTGATTATTGTGCGAGGGTGCTTTATATATCCTTGTAAGTCTTCTCTGTGTTCTGTTTGGTATTTTTTTTAAATCTTGTCTGCAGCTCAGCCCAGCCCACCTGGCGGTGCATTACTGAAATACTTGCTCCTCTTTCTGAGCCAGCCTGTCTAGGAACTATGTAACCTTCAGGAATGTTCATGTGATGTAGGTCTGTAAAGCTTAAAACTTATAACATGCAGCAAATGTTATTTCTGTACATTCACTTCTACTTTGGATCTTGCATTTTCCTTGGTTTGAGGCAAAACCAGGGGAGACATTAAAATGTTCAGGCTGTCTTCTACATTGCTACCTATGTTATGATTTTTGTATGTATCAATTGCACCCTTGAATTTCAACCCTGTGCAAGAAAGTTCTCCAGTGGATGGAGTAGTGATGGGGGAGGAAAATCTGTCTGAATTTAAATTTATATTCCATTGTTCTTCTGAAACTCTTTGTTTTTTAATTATCTATCTTTGAGCTTAAGGTGACAAATAGTCTCTGTAATGAGGTGACTCTGAGGATACTCTGTATTCATTGCATAAATTTTCTTGCTTTGTTTTGATTCTTTAAATGGACTTCTGTGTTCAGTTTTTGGCTACTGTTCTTGTCAACTTAGGACTATGAAAGAAGTCAAAGTTCTTCTTTAGGGCAGTACCTCATTGTGAAATACTGTTTTGCAGTTATTGCAAAGATTTACACCTCCAGTCGAAGTCATTAGTATAAGCAAGCATTAGATCTGTATCTCACATAGTCATCTGACTGCTGTAAGCTCCCTGCCACATCCACAGTATCTGAAAATATCTGAATGACATCCTTTTATCTCTTCACCACAGTATATTCATCTTCTCAACTATACTGAAGTTTCTGTTGTACAGTGGTGGTCATACGTGTTACCCTAACTGGTTCTTCCATTGCATTTAAGATCATCTTCCAACCAAAATCAGAAAGTCAACTCTTCACATTTTTTGTTGTTGTGATGCTATTACAAATGTTTATTTTGCATTAAGACCATATATATTAAAAGGTACAGAACAGTGGAAGATCTTCCTTCTGACTGATTATCTTCTTCATTCTCTATCTCCTGCTTGCAGCATTTAAATCTCATGTTTTTTTGAGGATAAGGAGGATTTTGCCACCAGGAAAATCGGGGATCAGCAAAAAAGAAAAGATGATAGGAAAGTTGAGATTCATAGAAGAAACAACAGTCTGAAGAGGAGTATCAGGTGTGATAGTGGGAAGGCTTTATCCTGCAAGTGTCCAGCTCATGGCTGTTTCATTTTGTCTAAGGGAAAAACGTGCTGCTCTCATAACTAGTAACTCAGTATTTTTCAGGAGGTAGCACAAGAATTCCTTTCTGTTCTTAAGGAAGTTTGCATGTGCTCCTTTTTATTTGTTTTCGCATCAGATCCTGCAAGTCTCAGCTCAGTGTAGCAACAATTAAATCCTATTCAATAGTATGAACTAAATTGGCACTCACTCATGTTCTTCCTTTTCTTGCATGGACAAATCCTATTAAAGATCATGAACACATTTCAGAAGTACTATAATTATTTTCTTGCTGTATTCAGTTGCCATGTAATCTTACAATGTAGTAATTGTCAGCAGATGTAACTCAATATTATCTATCTAATGCTTTGGACTTTTGAAAAATCTGTTTCTGGAAAAAAATCACCATCTGTAAAATAGATAGCCTTGCGATTAAGGACTTGCTGATGCTTTCGAATGATTATGAATTTGTACTTGTAGAAGGGGTGTAAGAGAAATTGTTTCCTTGTTCATCAACCAGGCAATAGTTCCTGGAAACGAATACGGCTGTTTTGCTTACTAACTTATCTTCTTTGACCTTACCATTCTTTTCTGAAAGCGGTTGATAATAAACAGTGGTGAGGAGCGGGTGCTTAGTATGCATAGGGTTGCTTCAAAGATGTTTATGTTGTGGACTTGACTTGCTAATTTACTGAATTTTCTAGTATGTCATATAAACCCCAGTACATCATAAACTTCATCATTGTTTTTTCATGCCTTGTTTTCATTTTAGTTACTGCTGTTATCCTGGTTTTGTATGGTAATGAGGCTATGGTATCTTTTATTGTTAGTGTCATCTTTTCCTATTTCTTCTACCCTGTGCAGCTCAACTTTGTAGGCCAATCTCAAGCAATCTGAAGAGGATTACAAAAACAAATCTAGTGAAAATCGAGCTTTGTTCATTTGTTGTGCCACCCACAATGGTTCTTGCTTCTTCTATGTCTGTGTTGTTAGATTACACAATGGTCAGTAGTGTTTTGAAAACGACTTCCCAGTCTTTCATTTGTGTGTTCAGTTAAAGTATTTTTCACAAAAGCTTTATGCTGTGACTTGAAGAACAATAAATAGCACAAAGTGTTACAGAAGAGTTATAATTAAATTTGATCTTCACTTAAAATTAGAAGTGTGAACAACAGTAGATTTATTTTCTTTTTGGTTTTTAGTCTTTAACTCAGCTTTTTATTTGATGGCGTTTGCATCATGTCTTGGCTAACTTGAAATGATGGGGAAAAGAAGGATAATTTTAGCATAGCTAGGGCATCTTTGTGAGAGACATTTTAAATCATGCTCACTTTGTAAGTTCTAATTTTGCGTAGTAAGATTTTTTTTTTGAATCTTCACCCTTTGTCATGAGATAAAAATGAGGCAACTGTGTGGCAAATTCACTTCAGTCAAAGTGAATTATTCTTAAAGATACTAAGAATAAAATAAAGATATTAGAACTTCTATTTTAAAAATAATTTCAAATCCTGATGAGAGACGTGCACTAAAGAAGTCACTGAACTTTAATATGTTAAAAGAATGAGGTCTGAAAACTTGCGGAAATATTATCTAACGTATGAGGTTATAAATGCCACCTTTTTCAGAGAGGGTATTCATGATCATCGATCACAGAACCAGTCTCTTGACTACTGAGCAAATGAAGTAAATGGTACCCGTTAAAAATTCGTATAGCAGCAGCAGACCTGGTAGCACCTTCAATCTATTGGTACTGCTTATTGACACAACATGAGCACCATACCCAGCGGTTCATTTGCTAGGTGGGGAATCAGATGGCATTAATCATGGTTTTGATGTGAAAATGTTCTTGTCTGCTGAATACTCCACAATGCAATCCATGTCTTTGCTTATGAAGTAGTGTTTTCTCAAAAAAAAGAAAAAAAAAGTAATGAAAATTAGATTGTTCTGCAATTTGCTGCGTTAAGTGATACCTTGAATGCTGATTGTTTAGGAGGGGACTGCTGTTGCGTGGGAAGTGGTTTTGCATTAAGAGGGGAAAGAAAACTAAACCAGTTTCTCTTCTGAAGCCGCAGATAAAGATGACAGCTCAGAAGACATCTCAGTGCCAAGCAGCCCACACACGGAAGCTATTCAGCACAGCTCCGTCAGCACTTCCAACGGTGTAAGCTCCACTTCCAAGGCAGAGGCGGTGGCCACCTCGGTGCTCACGCAGCTGGCGGACCAGAGCTCGGAGCCCGGGCTTCCCCAGGTCGGTGTGGTGCCGCCCTCCCAGGCGCAGCCCTCGGGGAGTTGATTAGGAACTTGGTTGCATCCTTTTCTTAGGTATTCGTTTGTGACTTTAAAGGGAAATCAATGAAAGACCAGTCTCCAGCTAGGAGAAATTGTAGCTTAAAATTACTCGGTTTTAAAATTCAAACCTAAATTTGGCTTTAATGATTGGCAGGTGAAGGTGAGACAGAACACCAGTTACAAGTCTCTTTGTAAAAGACTTTTTTTTTTCTCTTAAGTGTTAGGTTTACTAGTTATTTTTGTGCTTAATGTGTAAAGTGTATGTACAGTACAACGTGGTTTATTTCATTTTTAATTTGGTATTATTTCAACAAACATTGGGGTGAGTTACTAAAGTTCATCCCCCAGACTGTGATAGTAATATTATGTGACATTTTATACCAAAGTTCTGCATAGTCCCTATTGACTTTGTAACATGAGCAAGGTCATAAAGCACTAGGCAAGAGAAAGACAGTAACAGTAAATTTGCTTTTAGTCTTTTTGCCTTTTTGTTGTTTTGCACATTATGAGAGGAAGAACATTGGGAGAAAAATGTTTGGGTTATTTTATGTATAGCATTTTGGTTGGCTTTTTAACCGTTGGGTTTTTAATTTGTTTAATAGGGCCAGTACAGTATATGAAATACAGTACTCTTATGCACATACCTGTCCTAAATGAGGATTGTTACTAAATAGATTTTTTTTTTAATTTGTCAGGTGGTTTTTTTTTTGTTTGTTTGTTTTTTTTTGTTTTTCCTTCTCCAACACTTTCATTATGAGGGGAGGAGAGCTTTATTTCTTCAGTAAGCATAGATATCTGTAACTACCCTTTGTTGTTTGGCTGAAACCAGTAAGCATATTGTAAAGTACGGGGTTATCACGTATGGAATACTTAGTATTCCAAAGTAAGACGATATTTTGTGGATTTTTGAGTCGCAGACTGAGTTTACTTGTGGTTTTGGATGCCAGAAAAGCCTAAAGTCCTTCAGACAACTCAAGACTTTTTTTTGTCATTGTCTTGTATTTGCAAGCTAACTTGTACTTAATTCTTGTGTAAGCACTGTCATCTTTTAGTAGCAAAAATTTTGATACCTTTCTTGTGGAAAAAAAAAATCAGTATCTACCGTATCTTGGAAACAATGTAATTATAATGTGGTGTGTGTGGTGTGTGCGTGAGAATGGTTCAGTAGTTAATGCCAGCAGTCTTTTGCTTGAATGTTTAAAGATGCCTTCAATGTGATGCTGGCTGATAGGTGATTGCAGTTTTAAAATGTTATTTACTGTGCAAACTTGGATAACTAACATTCCATGATGTAGTTTGTTTCTGATGAAATGATTGTAGGTACACTTTTTCTCATTATCCAATCATCTGTAGGATATTGAGTTTTTTAAATGTGCCATTATCTATTTTGATTCTGTATTCATGTTCAAAATACAGTACAATATTTTACAATAGATTAAGTTGTTTAAAAAAAATATAGATGTGTGCTTTCAGGTGGGAAAACTTTGTATAATAGCAAAAACAGATGCATAGTAGCAACTGGCAGTAAAGCAGGATTCCATTATGTATATAACAAAGATTTAATGCATTTATAATGGGTTGTGTAGTTCATTTGCTCTTCCTTCTCCACACTATACTGCGTGTTTTTAAGTGTCAGTGCCATCAGATTTCTATTTGATTCAGTTTAAAATCTAAAAAATGTAATTGATCCACAGGAAAATCATGATTTCTACAATATATATACAACCGTACTATAATGAAACTGGACAAAGAGATATCTAGGTCATATATATATATCATTGCAGGGCTTTAAGCATGCAAGTAACAAGGATTCTAAATATTTTGTATTGTAAACTAAGGAAGTTGAGTTGATACCCTCATGCGTTTAGAAGTCTTAGTTTCCCAATTTCAGGAATAAACAGTAAGTTATTGATCGTTTCCGGGATGGTAACATATAATGGACATCTTGTGAGAAGGAAATGCATTGCAAAGGCACAAAATGTGAATTCTGCAGGAAAGCTATACAGTCACTTCTCATTGTAGTTTTGGTGGACTAGGCAAGGCCTTCTTGACTGCGCTATAATTTGCTCTCCTAAACACAAAGGCTTTTTAAATCATATTTATATAAGTGAAGTTTTTTTATAACAGCTGTCACGCTTGTAAAAGTAAGTCTTCATAAGTGTATAGGAGACATGTAAACAGTTAATGAGTTTAACGGTGGGGCTGGAAAAAGAACCATTAAAATCTGTGTTCAGCAAATAGAGAACAGTAATTAGCCGTACTACCATGGATTCTGTTTGGAGACGTATGTCACACTAATTCTGTACTTAGCATTTTGGGTCTTTACATTTGACATGTTCACAAACTGTACTGTTTTCTTTTATGTGCAGTTTGCATGAGTAAATCATCAAAGAGAATAAAATCTATCTTTAAGTTATGTTCCTATTTTAATGAAATTATAATTGTTCTAAAAGGCAGCAGCGTCTTCGAACTTATTTCTTTATCACTACACTTACCAGCATTTACTTGAAAGTTATTACTATAATGTCAAAGTAATGTTACAAAAATAAGAATGCATAATGTTCTTTTGAAAATAAACCGAATTCCATTGCTTTGAAGTTGACACCCAGCACCTTTTGAGGAACTGGCCATATATCTAAGTAATCCACAGAAGGAATCCACAGGCGGCTTGGTACAGGCATTGCTCAGCCATCTCTGGTTGCAGTGAGAGCCACTGCGAAGGTGTTGTGTGTAACCAGAATTTCCTGCTAACGTTTCAGGTATCTTAACCTCACCTTAATATAAGTGAAGCTAAGAAATAACAGAGGAACTGATCACAGTTTTGTTGTGGGAGGTTGAGAAGAAGTCACACCCTCATGTTTGTTTGCTACGACATGAAGAGTAGTTTGATCTTATTTATGAATGTTGGAAACGTGATAGATGGGGTGCCACATCCTGTTATTGTTTGAAAAGCTCATGACTATGGTGTGGAGGCATTGGGAGGAAAAAAGAAGTAAAACTGCCGTGTACTTGAAATTATTGCATCTTTTGAACAAAGGAAATGAAATTTAAACTGCATGCAACTTTGAGCCCATTGTAAGAAGCATACACAGGGCATGTTCTTGATCTAGAAGTCAGCCTGTCCGTGGCAGAACTAGATGATGTTTCAGGTCCCTGCTGACCCAAAACATTCTATGATTATTTTCTTTAACTACGAATTATGGTCATAATTGCAAGGAAGAATCATGAAGACTGTGTGACAGAGAGCAACTGAGGGGAAAGAAATATCCACTCTTTACCGTCTCCACTGTAAAAAAAAAAAAAAAAAAAAAAAAAAAAACACATTATTCTGATTTTGCATGTGAATATCCAATCCAAGTAAGCTTTTTCTTTTTAAAATGCTAATATAGGCTGGGCAAATAAAGATATGAAGATACTACACTGATGGAAGTAGATGACAAGTGTTGGATGAGTGGTGATTTCAGCTACCGAAATTACAGAAGTAATTTGCCTAGAGGCAGATACAAACATTTTAATTGGTCATCATAAATGATAATGAGGAGAAAACATGGTGAAATTAAGTGCATCCTAATAAAGTAAGGTATGTTAAATTGTGCTGAAGGAAACTCTAGCAATGCTTCTTGACATGATTAATATACTCATGACAATGTGTCTAATGAAGGTTGTTTGCATTTATGCGCTGCCTGTTGCCTCCCTCAGTAGAGATAATTTGGACTGTGCTCATTTACATTGCAGAGCATGAAGTGTAAGATAGCTTACAGTAGTATTTTCCTTTACATTTATTTTTATCCACTATGTCAACAGTCATGTAGGTAGGATTTATTTAACCAGCCTCATATAACACTGAGTAGGGTAGATATGGATGACACCATCATGAAAAAAGAAAAGGATTTTCAAAGTTTTTTATTAATTAATCAAGAGAACATTTCTTGTCCTTATAATTCCTGTTTTTAGTGTGACTTTTTTTTTTTAACTCCCCAAATTTATAACCATGACCTTTCTTGCTTTTCACTTTCTTTCTCTCCAAAATATTTAATTGAATGATAACTCTCTAACAAGCTTTAAACCTTGCTCAAAGTCCTGTTCAACATCTGTTGTCATTTTTATAATAAAATATGTTTTTCCAAGCACTTCTTCCTATCCATTTTTGAGGGAAAGAGTTTTTAAATAAACTACAGGTAGCAAATAGAATCTGGAAGTGAATATTTAATCAGAAAAGTGTAGTGTTTATTTTATATATCCCTAGCACACAGAGTAGGAAGCTAGGAGTATTTGTTGGCTTTGGCCAACAGGGGCCTGGTGGTGCTCCCAGCTTACAATTAATGAGCTTAAAGGATAGCACTGTGCAGCTCAGAGAGATCAGTCAGCATTCAGCTGAGCAGATGAGCTTCGGGAACAGGAGCTGTCACATAGATGGCTTCAGAGGAGTAGAATTGCAGGGAAGTAAGTTTTCCTAACTCCTGCCTATGGTGAGCTTAACGTATCAAATGCAAGCATGAGCTGTTACCCATCCATCTACCAGAGTCTGTCCCTAGGTGGCCTGAATACTGCGGTGTATGTCTTTCAAGCTACTCATAAGGCAAAAGTCAGCTTGTGTTCTCTTTTCGCTATCTGAAAAGTTCTTTCTCTTGTTTTGCAGCAGGCTGCTATTTGCTTGGTATGTAAATAGTATTTCTTTCACCGGATCTGAACCGCTCATCTTAGACCATTGCAGAGGCAGGGTACTGTCTGATAAACCCCTGGCTGATACGTTTCTAGAAACTGAACAATTCAAGAAAGCTGCTAATTTATTTTATTATCATGAAAAGTGAAATGAAAAATCACATCAGGTCATACATCTCGGGTTCTCATCAGGAGAAGGAGACGAGCAGAGAGAATGAGCCTTTGGCATTAGCAGCATACACAATAAATTGCCTTTCTGAGTAAGTTGCAGAAATGAAATGGAGAAAAAGTCATTACAACTTTGATAACTATTTCCTGTGGAAAAAGTAGTTTGTTTCACTTCTTATTCATACCAACCTTTTCGTCTGATCCTAGGATACATTCTGTGATTATTTGTTACTTCAAAATGTTTATTATGTTGTTATCAGATGTTTTGATCTCACTTGGGGTAAGTAGTAAGAACATCACGTTGCTCTTGACTACACGTGCTCCTAAAGGTTACATAATGTGTATCTAGTACAGCCATTCTATACATACAGTTATCCATAAAATGCCAACAAACTACAGTAGCATGGCTATGATTTGAAAACCAAGCCAATATTTTAGTTTTCCTGTTTTCTGTATCCCTTTCACCAGAGTTATTTTAAAGAGCTAATGTTTTGCTGAAATAAAAGAAATAGATAATCCTTGTAAATGAAGAACAGATGCTGTATGTTTCACTGTACAATAGGAACATTTTTAACACTTGATGTCAAGGTAGTAAGGTCATATTTTGTGACTCATGCGTGTGTGAATACATAAAAGGTTTCATTATGCTGTCTCTTACAGTTTACCCAAACTTCTTGGAGCCCTTGTTCTAATAGGACTTAACTCCTTTTTCTTCTGTAAATTATACAGCAGTCTCCTGCATGCTGTGTAAAAGTTGTTATCCAGGGATCTGTTACAGCTCTGCTGCCAGTTACCATGCAAATGGAGTGCAGTTTGAGTTGTCAGCATAGCTGTGGTTGCTGTTTCTGCCTACTGTATGTCACAGCATTGGTTTCCTTGGGATGCTTCTGTTCTACATTCTCTTTAAAGCTCAAGTACCAGTTTGTGATAAGCTCTGACCTTTTCCTTGCTCTGGATGCCTGGCAAAGCTGTTTTGTTGCAAGCAGGGCGTGCACGGTCTGCCTGCTTTTGTAACTTCATGTGTACTTTTTATGGGATTTTATTTTTTGCCGTTGTCTTCACCTATCAGGTAAGGGTGCACACACTCAGTTAACAGAACTGCTGATAGAACAGGCCAGCTACTAGGGGCATTAAATACTGAGGATCTCGTCTGCCTAAATGCCACTGCTTTGGCATAGTTAAATTGGTATAAACACAAACATTTGGAGAATTTTCTTTTGATGTTTGTTGATTTATTTCAGTCCAACACATGTTGCTTGAGAAAAGAGTAATAGAACTTAGCTGAAGTAAAAAAAAAAAACAACAAAAGAAAACAACAACAACAAAAGTATGGTCCTTACTAAACCAAAAGACGCTAAAAGACAAAAGACACTTAAAATTTTGCAGTACAGTTTTAAAAACTATTTAACTTAAGCTAAAGCAACTTCTGTAATCAACGTTTTCCAGAATGTGATTTAACCAGTTGCTAATCACCATCTGTTCTTCTATCTTCTATCTTAAGAAAATTTGAATGTAAAGGACTGCAGTGGCTCCTGACACGCAGATTGTGTTTCTTCTTCCCTTGTAACTCAAAATTGCACTTCTTGCCTCAGAAGCCACTGACATACCTAGAGCCTTGTAGCGGCTCATTGTAAGCAGGGAAGCCTTTGCCTAAATATGTTCTCAATTTAGATCTTCAGGTGCTCAAAAATCTATGAAATGAGCATTTGTGGGTTGAGTACTGCCATAAGGCTCCATCCTTAAAGATTGTGCTACCTTCCCTTGGCGGCAGCAGCACGGATTGCTGTGGCTGCTGGAGCTGAAGAGCTGGTGTGAAATGTTTGCTTCAGATGCATTGAGTGTGTACCAAAAGTGAACAAACAGCCTGAAAGTTAAGCATGTTGGAGTTAAGCAGTTTTGCATTACTTGGTAGGGGGTCTGGAATCAGGTGACCTTTAAGGTCCCTTCCAACTTAAGCCATTTATGTCTATGATTACACCTTATTTGTTTTTCAAACAGCACGTGTGGAATTCTTTGTGGTTTTGTTTTGAGATTGTTTTTTCTTTCAGAATTCCAGTGGAAAATTAAATTAACTACAGAAACAGTGCTTACTAGGAGACAATTTTGTGGGGCTAATGTAGAACCCTGAGGAGAGACACTGAATGGAAGAAGGATATCAGCCCTCACTGAGCAGGTCTTACACTGTGGAGAGCCATGACTTTGTTCTCTGCCATAGAAAATGCTATATGTAGTAGATAAAAGAGTTTGGTTCAGGGATTGCTTCTGACCTGAAATGCCTTGCATCCAGAAACTGGTTTTATTTTTTCCCTCATTTTGCCTGGGAACTCACTGCAGCTTAGCTGACTGGATATCCAGCAGGCAGCCCTTCCTTCATTCCTGTCCCCTCTAGCATTCCTTTGCTTCACAGGTTCTGTGGCGTTGCCGTATCAATGTTCAGTTAAGCAGCAGTCAGTATCCAGGCTGCTGAATTGTGCTGTGATTAACTGTTGAACAAATTGCACATAGCACAGTGGTACTTATGATCATCTAATGAGAAAAAACATCGCCATGATATTGCATAGATTTGCATGGAAGCAACATTAAATTATGTTTATTGATGCTGTTTTGACATTCCACAAGTAAGAATTAAATGTACTCTAGTCTTTCTCCTTTGAAGTTGGTAGTTCTCCTCTCAGTCTTACATTTTGCTGCACATTAAAGGAAATGTTTTGTTTTCATCTGGTACTGAGCAGCCTGTGGACACTGAGCAAACCACCCCCACCCCGCTTCACGGTATGGAAAGTACAACTGCACTGCACTTCTGAGCATGGTGTGTTTTACCATGCAAAGACGGAGAATGGAAATGTCGTCTTGTGCATCACAGCTTGCTTCTCCTCGTTGGAATTCAAATGACCTGGCTCAAAGTATCATGTCTGTAACTGGGGCTTGTAGCAGCTCTGGTCCTAAGTGGGAATGATTTTGGTACTGCAATTTGTATTGAGGCTTTATCCAAAAATAACACAGGAAATGCAGCACACAGTTACTGGAGCAAAGCATTTCTGGCAGATGTCTGTGGCATGCTCCAAGTCTGAGGGCTGGCTTACATTTGTGTTTCATTTAAAAATGTGGTAAAGATTTTTGGTAAGTGCTGACTGCGACTCTGCTCCTCATCTACCAAGCAGAGGGGGCTGGAGGGGAGCTGCAGTCTGTAGTTAAAGGGGATTTATACATCTGCAAGTAAAATTATCTTGTATTAGTGATGTCTTCCTTATACAAGACGATGGATAATAAATTATTAACCGAATGAGGTAAGTAATTTCATTTCCTGCTATTTCCTGCTGTCTGTAACGAGTAATTCAAAATGTGGGTGTTTCTAATTTCTCAGGAACAAAATGCCATCTAGTGGTAACTGCTCAATATTTTTGAGTAAATGCATTCTTTATATTATCAAAAAGTTTTTACATATTTTTCTGCACTTGAAAGGGGCAGAAGAGGCTGGGGAGCAGCACCTAGGGGCAGCACTGCCTGTCTCCGTGCTTCTGGAAAGCTCCCTCCCTTCCTTCCTTTGTCCTGCTGCAAGTTGCTGAGCTTTCCCCTGCTAAGGGTTGGATAAACTTCCGAGCATAGCTGGCAGGCTGCGTCTCACTGTTACCCGATGGTAGCATGCAGCACTTTTAATGTGGCTGATGCTATGTGAGGAGATGCTGGAAGCCACTTCTGCATCTCTCTCTGGGCAGGGAGCTCTCAGAAAAGGTCGCTGCCATGAGCCAGCCACAACTTTGCTATTACAGCAAGAAAAAGGAATACTTTTTCCCTCAAACAATATTGAATTGTATTTGTGACTGTAGTCTGGGGGCTGGACCTATCAGTCACGCTCTGCCTGAGGCCACCCAAGGGGGTACTCCCATTCATCTGGTGGTTTTGCTCTACATCATGATAGGGTTTTTCTGCTTTTTTTTATTTATCTGTGGTATGTCGTGGGAGTGCCCAGCAGGATCTCAGGTCTCCTTGGGTAGCAGAGGAGTGGGGCCTGGTGGCTGGCAGGGCTGCCCAGGGCTCAGAGCTCTGTGTGGGAGGTGAAAAGTTCGTTTGAAGCAATGGGGTGGAGGAAGAGACAGGATTTTCTGCATTAAAAGGGCATTTTGTCCTCCCTTTTCCTCCTTGTTCTAAGCTCATGCTCATCTGTTTCTTTCTCTGCCTTTGATAAAGATTTTGTGGATACAAAACAAACCACATTAGAAAAAGCAGGCAAATGGTATTTGCTGGGCTCCTGGCAGTAGCAGCTTGTGAGAGCCAAAGTCCTCAGCTCCAAGGGATGCGGGCCCAACCTCCATGCCATATCTTGTACCCACGTGAGCTCTGCCATTACAGTGCAAAGGTCCAGCAGGCTTCAGCTGCAGAGCTGAACTTCATCCAGGTGCCACTGCCAGCACTGGGGAGGTCATCACTGGCTTGTGTTGGTCCCTGGGTACTTCACCTGGAAGGTAAGGGCCAGAATTCTAATGCAACTTCATCTTCTGTGAGTGAACAAGGGGGATCAGGGTATAGGATGGGTGCTAGTTACGGGGCTTACGTGTAGCATGCATTGCTTTGGCCCCTTGGAGCAGAAACCCACTCATTGTTTTGCAATTATGGTCACACACAAACCATCACAATGAAAACCAGCTTTCCCTGTGTCTTAGAACCACCTTGCTTTTCTCATTCTGCGCAGAGTTGTCTAAATAACCAATACATTTTATAGTCCTATCAAGAGAATCAATAAGCCGAGTCTTAGTAATTGTTTCTGGCACTGCCAATTTAGGACCTGGATATCTGCTAATTTACTTCTGCTTTGTGAGGTACTTTCCACATGTCTTAGCTGACAGTAAGCAAAATGTTCACGATCAAGGGATGCATCTATTTTATTACTAAAGAAAAAGGAAATAACATTCATTTTTCCCCTTTCCTTGCCCTCCTCTCCCCAGCAAAATGGTGACATCAGTTACAGAAACCAATAATAAATTATGCTTTTTGGCACAGATAAAAAGGCTTCAAAGGGATCAGATAATCCTGTCCCTTCATAAGGAATCTTACTGCTGCAAACTTGCAGTTCACTATAACTATTTTGGGACTGGGAGATCAATTAACAAATTGTGAAAATCTCCAATCCTAATTAAATCCCACTATTACTTCCAAGAGTGGTTTGTCTCCTCTTTAGGAATAACACTTGATTTAAACAGCTTGTTTGTTTAACAGAAGTTATTAGTCCCTTCAATAACACTTTAAAATCATTATGAGAAAAACTTCACTCGGTTCCAGCTCTTTGAAGTTGTTTTAGTTAATGCCATCTCCCTGTGAGCCACAAGAGCTGATGCGGGACTTGAAAGTTATTTTCAGTGTTACTCTGTGCTTGTTGTGCTCTGCTGTTAACCTGACTTCTTGCAGAGCTGCCTGTGCTATGTGCAGCAAAGCCGAAAGCTACCAATGGTGTGTTTGCTTTTTTAGCTGTTTGAAAGGTTTTATGTTCTCCTTTGAAAGTCTTTGAGTTGGAAGAAACCTTTGAAGGCCATCCAGTCCAACTCCCCTGCAATGAAGAGGGACACCACAGCTAGATCATGTTGCTCGGTGCTCTGTCCAGCCTGACCTTGAATGTCTCCAGAGATGAAGCATCCACCACCTCTCTGGGCAACCTTTGGCCACCACAGACCCTGGTAAAGACCCTATTCCTTCTTATAGCTCCCCTCTAGATACTGAAAGACCACTATCAGATCTCCCCAGCTCTCTCAGCCTATCCTTGCAGGGGGGGTGTTCCATACTGGGATCATTTTTGAGGTTCTCTTCGGACACACTTCAACAGGTCCATGTCTCTTTTGTACTGAGGACTCCACATCTGGATGCAGTATTCCTGGTGAGGCCTCACCAGCACAGAGCAGAAGGGCAGGATCACCTCACTCAACCTGCTGGCCATGCTGCTTTTAATGCAGCTCAAGATGCGGATTCTTTTTATGCATGGAAAACATGGCTGTACTGCACTTCAGTTATCTAAGGCATTTGTTATCTAGCACTCTGAGATTTGGACTTAGAAGCATCTTCAGCTCATGAAAGTTCATTCTATGAGGGCAGTGGATGAATTTCCACTTAACAACTAGACTGTAATTTGTACAGTAGGAAATTCTCAGAACATTCCCAAAGTTCAGTTCTTACTCAGTCTGTTTTCTACAGCAGCACAAAAACTGCGTCAGATTTGGAGCTGAATTTTGACTTAACAGGGCCTATCCTCCCTTGTTCATATAAAGCAAATTACTGAGCTTTAAAATATTCTTCAACATTTCACGTGCTCTTAAGCTTGAACATTCTTTCAAAGACCCTTACGTGCCTTGGAGATGCAGCTCTGAGAAGCAAGATGTGTGAGTATTGCCTGACAACCAATTCCCTAATTAAAAACATTTTATTATCAAATGGCTTAAGCAGCATTGGATTATCTAAGAATGTAGGAATAATTTTGAGGGCTCTGATATTAGAAAATCAAATAATTGCACTAAGACAGAAGTTGGTTTTTTTTTAAATGTTGCCTGAAAGCAGTTAAACGGAGCTTCCCAGCATTTTCTGGGGATAAAAACTTCCAGTTGATGATTTAGTACAAAATACTTCTCTCTACTGAATATTCTACACAGCACTTAGGAACTGCAGTTCTCAGTTGCTAATGAGAATGAGGGATTGCCAAATACCTTTGGCAATTCCTCAAAGCCATCCAGTAGATCTAGAAGTGGATCTAGAAGCTACAATTTATTGCATGAAGGACCGCTGCCAATTCTGTGGCATAGTTTATGGCTTCAAGCAGGAGCTCATCTGCTGAGGGTTGAAGATGTTTTCAAAGTGAGGACTAGAAGTATCTTGCAGATTTTTGAATCCAGCTTTTTCTTGTTTTTTAGTGTTTATGGATAAAATTGTAACAGTTTATTCCCAAGACTATCCTGCAAATGGCTTACCTTCTGTTTTTTTAAATTGTAATTACCATTTTTTTCCAAATGCATACAAACACTCTTTCAGCTAATGCCCGAATCTTTCTAAACGTGATATAAAAAGGAAATATGAAAGTTAAGTAGAAGCTGTAAGCTGCATTTTAGAGGTAATATAAACGCACTTGGGTGTTTTATAGCCATCAGTATTATCTCCTTTGATGCCTGAGGCTTGTCCCTAGGAGACAGAAAGCAGACACTTCCTGGAATTTCTCTAATTAGCTTGTTCATTTCACTTAATAAAACAAGCAATCAAAAACATCATGTGTTTCATATGCGGGACTCTTAAAAAATAAGAGAACATACCATTCTACGTATATCTGAGCAAGTACAAGCAATTTTGGAATTTTCTAGGATTTTATTAACATAATGAATAGCTGGTCTTGCATTATATATATCTGCTGACAAGACCCACTAGTGAGTGTACATACGAGCAATAAGAAAGCTCACATAGAATCATAGAATGGCTTGGGTTGGAAGGGACCTCGAGGATCACAACAAGTTCCAAAATCCCCCACCACAGACAGGACCACCAGCCTCCAGATCTGATATGAGAGCAGGTTGCCCAGGGCCCCATCCAGCCTGGTCTTGAACACCTCCAGGGATGGAGGATCCACATCTTCTCGGGCAGCCTGTTCCAGCACCTCATCACTCTTTGTGAAGAATTTCCCCCAACATTAAATCTAAACTTTCTCTCCTTGAGCTTAAAACCATTCCCCCTTGTCCTATCACTGTCTACTTTTGTAAAAACTTGATTCTCCTCCTTTTTGTAATCCTCTTTTAAATACTGGAAGGCTGCAATGAGGTTTCCGTGCAGTTTCTCTTCTGGCTGAACAATTCTTTAGCCTGTCTTTGTAGGGGAGGTGCTCCATAAGGTCCATTGCTAGAGTATATTCTGACCAGCTGCAAAAAATAATAGTCTTTTGCAGCTCTAAGTAGTTTGGTTTCTTGCCCATCCTTGTACCACTTGCTCTCAGTGTCTCGTGGAAGCTGTTGTGAGAGGAAGCTCCATGGCTCACACTGTACATCTTTCTGGGCTCCAAGCTCATACCCTCATGTAGATCATGATGGGTCTACATGAGGGTATGGGAGGCAAGTTTTGGTCAATTTTGGTCAAATCTAGCAATTTAGTGATGATTATTCCCTGTAATAATTAAAAACATGTATAGCTTTTCATTTCATTTTCCAATCCTGTTCCAGCTCCTGCTTTTACAAAACCATAATTGAAAGAATTTCCTCTGCAGAGCTGTACTGGAAGTACTTCTAAATTCATGTTTGAAAGCATTAGAGGAGTTTTGATGATGTTAATTGAATAAAGGGGCCAAAAACTAAATAGGCCATTTTAGGATTCTGCATCATTAATTCCTATGTGTGACAATCATCTTAAATCTCACTGCTATGCTGCTCTTAAAATCAAAGGGACTAAAGGTGAAAGCTTGGAAAAGATGGGAATGAGGTGGCTCTTGATAAGCAAGTGACCTCTGAACTGAAAGACAGAGAGAATCACTTACTTGAGAAGGTGAAAGTAACCACCCAATGCAGAGCAAAAGGGTTGTTCCATTACAGCCAGCTGTGCACCTTGAATGCTGCGTGCATCGCTGGTGTTGAAGCAAAGTGGGAGCAAAGGTGAGCACTGTAACTTGCTGCTGTTGTCACCTGTTGAGTGGGAAAAGCTGGCTGTGAAATGTAATTTGGGTGCGTGTTTTCTTTTTAATGGTACATCAGAGCTTAAGATAATTTTTCCAAGACCCACAGATAGTATTTACTATATACCACCTATAGGGCATGATGTAATTCTCATCACATTTATGGATATGCCTTGGAAATTCCATTAAGATGGAGCCCTAAAGAAGTGTCTTGGAAAGGGCTCTGCTCAGGTGGCATAGAGGAGAATGAACTTTTTTCTTTGATGCCATCAAAGTCCAAAACGGCATGTCTCATACCATCAATCTAAATGGAGCAAATTGCTTAGATGTGATTCGCTTATTTTGACAGTTAAAAAAAAAAAAGAAAAAGATTTTAGTGCCATAGAAATCCCCATACTAGCACTGGTGCAAGCAACACACTGACTATGCCTGGTTTGCAAAGGTCGCTGATTGCTGCTGTACTTGATGCAGGCCTCCTCTGTGCCTGGGCAGAGCCAGGTAATATTACATTTAAGTGACTTGGCTATTGGTAATGAACAGCATTGGAAAGATAAGTTCAAATGACAGTTTTCTCATCAAAGCAAGAAACATTCAAAATACTGGCAGCATGCAGGGACACTTCTGTATTTGTGGTAGACTTGCTGTTTTGCTGAAGTAGCTGCGCTTACTAAATGTTAATTTTAACTAGAAAGCTCAAGAAAGCTCAGCATTCAGTCTTCCAACTTTTTATTGATGACTTGTAAATTTTGTACGAGCAAGTGGTAGAAACCTGCCTTGCCTTTTCCAGGGAGGAAACGCTGCACTGCAGAGGAGAGGAGCCGTGGAGGCGCTGGGTAACTCAGCTGCTGGCAGTTATGTGTTAGGCTTCTGCTGAGCTGCCCTCCTGCTGCCAAGGGGCAGCTGTCTTGAGATGCTACCCCTATTCATCAGGTAACATTTCACCAGGCCTTCACTTTTACTGTTCCCCATTAATAAGGGACGGCTTTACTTTATGTTTATTTTCCTTCACATAATATTGGATTTACAAGCTGGAAACCTTTCTCTACAGATGGGTATAAATCTTTACAAATGTCAGTAATTAATTTTAAAATCTCATTTATCAATATATAATGAGTGAATTAGTTCAGGTTTGAAGAATAAATGTCTTGTATTTAGGCACAATTCTGCACCAGGCCCTCAGACATTCAGATGGATTAATGGAGGACAACAGTGGGTAGCGGGCTGTGCCCTGTGCCCATGTCAGAAGCAAGAAGCACAGGTGTAGGGGCCACAGTGGAGAGGTAGACACTGGCAGCCAGCCCTAAGTCCCAGTAAGGAGATATAACGCAGAGAATAAAGCAGTGGTAATTGCCTCTGGAATGTTAAGAGCTCTGAGGCTCAGGGGAGGAGGTGAGAAAGCAGCTGAAGGACAAGGAGCGGAGCAGAAAATAGCATCCTGCATCTGTATTGCTCTTATAGAGAGTACAGCCTCGGTACACCCTGAACGTTCCTACCAGGCAGAAGTGTAACTGTGCTTCTCCTACAGAGCGTGGTGCCAACAAACCATTTCTTAAAAGGGAGAGCTTCAAGAGAAACTACATACCAAGATCATCCTTGCTTCCGTGTGAAGCAATGGCGAGGTGCCTCAGCACTGCTAAGGAAATTCCCAGAATTGTTGCTAAGACATCATTGCCAGTGCTCTGAGGTGTGCTGGCTCCACAAGGTATTATGTAATTGTAAGATACTGTTTGTTACATGGGAATAGCCGCGATGATTTTAGGCCTGCTCAAAAGGCAAGATGTGGGAGAAGAGACCTTTGCTTTAGAGAACACAGGGCTGTTTGGGTGCTTTTTCCTCCTGACCTGTGCCTCTGATTTCTTCCTGATGTGTCAAAGTGTTACTTTCTGTGGACAAGAAAACATTTCTAATATAAACAAGTAGTTGCTAGATAAAGATTTTGGTGTAGTGGCAGAGAAAAAACTGGCTGTGTAATTCAAGGAATTCTGGGGGGAAGTTGACAGTAAATCTCAGGAACTATAAGAAAAAAGTCTGTGTGAAGATGCACCTCCTTTCAAAAAGCAAAGCAAAGACCACGTCGCAGAGGCAGAACGGCAGAGGTTTGTTGTTGCTTCTTCCAATCCGTTTCCCAGCTATTTAAGTCTCATTATAGCCCTGCAATCAGTGTTTCACAGCAGTGCCGCTGCTCCACAAACTTCCACACTTCACACGTGCAAAATAAAAACGAAATCAGGTCCACCGTGCTGCACTTCTTCTGTGTTACTTCTTCCCAAGTGCAAGGACCGCTGTTTCACGCGAAGCCATCACGTCACCCAGCCGTGTGCGCCAGCTAACCCTGCCCGTAAGCGTTTGTTCCCAGGGTGAGAACGCAAGCGCCGGCAGCGAGTTAGGCACGGTGCTTCCCTTCACCTGCAGGATTTTACCGCCGTTCGCGGTGCCAGCTGGCGGCCGCCGGCGGTCGGAACTTCTCGTGCCCGGGGAGCTCTCGGGGCTTCCGCGGGGACCGCGAGGAGGACGCTCCGCCGCACGGCGAGCCCTCCCGCCGCTCTCAAGGCAGCGCTTTGTCCCGGCGCCGCCCCGCCCGGCGCCCGCAGCCCCTCGGGGCCGCGGCAGCCCGGGGCTCCGCACCTGCCGCCCGGCCCCGGCGCTCCTTTGTGCCTCGGCGGCGGGGCGGCCGCGTTGCCATGGGAACGGCCCCGCCGGCTGCGGCAGGAGGGCGGGAGGCGGGTCGTGTGGCGGCGCAAGATGGCTCCCCGAGGCGGCGGGCCGCACTGAGAGCGCGGGCGGGCGGCGGGGAGGGCGGGAGGAGCGGCAGCGGCAGCGGGGCCGCGCCCGGCCCAGGCGGCCCCTCGCGGCCCTCGTCCCCTTGCCCTCGGTCGCAGCCGGCAGCTCCGCGGCCGCGGGCGTTCCGGGCGCGCCCTGCCGCCGCCGCCAAGCGCCGCCGCGCCAATGCCGGCCCCGCCGCGGCCGGCCAGCCCCCGTCTGTGCCATGGCTCTGACCTTGTTCGGTGAGTAGCGGCCCGCGCCCATTGTCTGCGGCGCGGCGGAGCGGGGCGGGGCCGGGAGGGGCGGGGGCCGCGGGCCAGGCGCGGGCACGGCGGCGGGAAAAGTTGCGGAGAGCGGGGTGTGCGGGGCGGCGGGCCGGGTGTGCGGGCAGGGCTGCGGGAGTGGGGTGGGAGGGGAGGAGAGGAGAGGGGATGGGCTGCGCTCTGCGTGCTCCAGGCGCTCTGGAGGGAAAACTGGAGAGCCGCGGTTTGGCTGCTGAGCGCAGGGCTTCTCTGATGAAGCGCGGTCTCAATTTCGCGGTTAAAACATTGCCCAAAAAAACACTGCCCGAGCAAACACTGCCCAAACAAACACTGCCCAAACGCGCGTTGCTGGCAGCCGCGAGGCGGCACGGGAGCAGCGCGGGGCGGCACGGCCGGGCGCCGCTCCTGCGGCGGGCGTCGATTCTGCGGGACGGAGCGACGCGATGCGATCGTCCCGCGCTGCCCGCGTTGGTGCGGCTCCGTACAACAAGGAGCGTCGTTCCGTCTCTCTTCTTTAAGAGCTGGCACCTGTTACGTTGTGCCCATCCGACGACAAGTTCGGCACGTGTTGCAAAGCAGTTGTCGGCCGGGCAGCTGGCCGTGGCGCCGGGTTAGCTGCGGCGCGGTCCCTGCCGGGCTGCGGATGGCCGCCGCTCGGGCGGGGCGGGCCCTGCGGGGGCCCAGCTCACAGGCGTTTGCCGCGGTGAGTAGCTGATGTGTGTCCGCGTAGTCTTCGGCTACGGAGTTGAGAGTGCTTTAACTTCAGCTTTTAAACGAAGTAACGCTGTTCTTAGCGGGGGAGTTGGGCTGGGCGACCTGCAAGGGTCCCTTCTGGCTCAAGTGATTCTGTGATGATTCTGTGACATTGTAAGCCGAGCACCTGTTTTTTAGACTCACCGGGTTATTTTTTAACTTCTGTGCGTTTTGTCTGCTTAATGACGTTCTTCTATCAATAAATTTGCGTTACAAAGGAAATTGAATCGGGTTTGCGCGTGCTCTCGCATCTGCTGTTAGTGACGTTGATGCATGTTAAAGCTAATGAGCAAACAGAAGATGGAGCGGTGGGCCCTGCTGTGCCGAGGGCTTAAATAAAATCTTGCCAAGGGTAAAAAAAAAAAAAAAAAAAAAAGATAAATAATCTGAAGATTGCACCCTGCTAAGGAAGCACAAAGAGACAGTAGAAGGGCACAGCAGATAAGATGACTGTATGTTAATAAATTGATGTGAAACCCTTTATAAGTGTAAAAGCAGAAGAGTACATCTTAAACTGTGAGCACAGGAGCGTCGGGGCAGTTGGGTTAGTGCAGGAAGCAAGCGCTATGTATGCAGGCAAAGCTGTGATTCACTTCATTGGAGTTATCACAGCTTCATATGTTACTGTGTCCTCTGAGCTGCTGTGGCTTGTTGCACACTGTCTCTTCACATACAACAACAACAGACCCAAAGGTGCTTGCTTTAAAGCAAAAGAACGGCCTTCAGCTTTTATTTTGGTTGTGGCTGCCTACGGATGGATGTGTTTTCAGTTGCCACGCTGCCTCTGACCCATAGTAACTCAGTGCAATAATATGCCACACAAGAATATAGATGTATTTTTAACCAATTTCAATGTAATCTTCTCACAAATCTGGGAAAAAACAGGAAAAGTGTACTTAAGCAAGTCTGTGTATTCTTGGGCTTACACAGCTATAATTGTGCTGTTTTAAATTTGCACCCTTGGTATGCCAATGAAAGTGTCCTGAGTGAAGCCCTCCCTCAGGACCTGTTTGCTGTGGTTCTGCACTTTCATGTACATTCTAGGCTCAAAACTGCATGTTTTTTTTTAACCTATAATAGTATATCTGAATAAAATTTCACATATTCTTGAGTTGCTTCTAATAGGTGTGCCACAAAGGCTATAAAACTTGAGACAAATTAGCATGTCAGCTTGGGAGGAAAATCCACCCAGTTTGGTGGGTTCCTTTCAATTAATGTGTATATGTGTCAGCACAGCAAGAGCAAGGAGAAGGATGGGAAGTGTTGCGACGTGCCTTTTGCGTGCTCTTGATGTTGATTTATGGCTATTTCAGTGCGTAGTTGAAAGGCTATTCTAAAAGGAGACAGGGCTAGAAAGCAGGATGACATCATAGGTTCCAGCTTGAGACAGACCTGTGGTTATCAGGCAGTTGGAAGGGCGGATAGGCTGCGTTATATCTCCTTGGAAGAATGGCTGGGAGTTCTCTGCTCCCGTTGGAGATTGCCCTTTGCTGCAGAATGCCCATCTGCTCTCTGTAGCCACTGGAATGCTAGCTGCAGGTGGGGCCTTCAGGGTGTCACTTGGAGGATCTCAGAAGGTTGGCATTCAGTCACCACAGCCTTGTCAGCAGCCTTTTTTTCCTCCCCGCAACCATTTCTTCTTGCCTGCTGCAGCAGCTGAATGGAGTTTAAGCTGCGTCCACCGCTGCTGTTTCAGCACAAAGCTCATGGCTTTGTGCATGGAGGTGTGCAGAGGCTGTGTGCCTGGCTTAGCTGGGAAGCAGCTGAAGGGACCCACAGGTTCTGCTCTGCTGCCTGTCTGTGGATCCTCTTGGAGAGAGGAAGAGCATACAGATGCGTTTCTGAGGCTGGATTCCCCGAGGCCCATTTGCTAATAGCTGGCACTATGGGATGCTGTGGAGGCAGAGCCGAGGTGCGTGCTGTCGCTCTGCTTGGATGGCTGAAGTATGGGAGAGATAACAAACAACATAGAGGAAAAAGAGGACATGTGAAGTTGTGCTATTGCTGCAGCTGCTTGTTGAGGGCGCTTTTGCATCTGAGTGTCCTGAGAAGTGTTTAAAGCAAGCCAATGTTGTTTGGAAGAGTTTTTTTGTTATGCGTTACTGCTTGTCTGTTCACTTTCTGTTTGCTAACAAACTGCCTTGTGTGAACTGAGGAAGATGTCTCCAAATGGCCAGGGGAGCTGTTCCTGACCACATTTATCGTTAGTTGTTTGTGTCACTGCCTTCCTGTTCAGAGCACACAAGTGGATGAGAACTCCCTTCCTGAACATCGGTGGTAAGAAATAACCCCCTGTGAATCTATCTGTTGCTATGGGTATGGGGCAAGCCTTTGGAAATAGATGGTTCCATCGCTGAGGTGCTCGTGAACAAATGACCATTTTCATTTCTGTGCATTTGTGATTACTGCTCTCCATGCAAACCCCACTCTCTCATCAGTGCTGCCCTGAAAGGTGGGCTGTGATTCTGCTGGCAAAACACATCTTTTTGGTTGTCACGGTCTTACAGTAAAGGTACTGTATGGAAGTGAAATCAATTCCTTGTTCCCTAAATGAGTGTTTTGCCTGTATTGGAAAGGCTTTTAGTTCTGCTGCTTGGTTGGCTTAGTGAGAGGAACGTGGAAAGCCAAAGCTCCTCTCTAGATGGCTTTCTGATAGGTAATGCCTGTGGATTCACTGGGGGATGGGAAGTGCTCAGAAATGGATGTGATTATTTCTTGCTCCCTGTGCAGAGCCACTAAGAACGGGGTAAGCAGGTGGTGCACAACTCAAGTTGTTCTCTTTGTAGCCCTGAACTACTCTTAAAACTTGTGGTGAGCTGTCATGGCAAGTGTTTCCCAACAGTAGTGTAGCTAAAGAAACGATTTGGACCAGAAGACTGTTCTTTCAGTTTGTTTCTGCATGGAAAGACGTGATGGAAGTTTTCTCATGGAATCAGTGCTTTTGCGATAAGATTTTTATCGCTACAAGGATTACAAGCGTGGTGAGGTGAACAGTAGCCTCAGGCCAACTGATTTTAAGAGAGACTTAATCATGTCAACATTTAGTTATGAGAGGAACTTGGAATTATTCAATTAGACAAAACTGTAGATAAGAGCAGTGATTTTGGCTGTCTTTTTTGTTTGTTTTATTTTTAAGCAAGATTTAGAAGTGAAAGTGATTCATTAAGCATGGATGGAAACCATGTTAGAGGTGAATTTGACTGATCTTCCAAATCCCATTCATGTGGGTGGGAAGGAGAGTGTCCAGGTGCTGAGAACCATAAGATTATTTTCTCCTAGGTTCTGTGCTAACCCTACCTAATGGGTAAGACCTAATGAAGCAAGTAAGGACAGCAACCTTGAAAAGCTTGTGCTGGCACTGCAGTCTCAAGGAAGAATGGGAACAAAAACCTACTGAGGAGCAGGGAAAAGAAGATGAATCTATTAACTGGCACAGGGGTATCCATTGATCAAAGTATTAGAGAAGCAACACTAACGCTTATAAATGAGGTGGAAAAATTTCACTCGTGGCTTCCCAGCTTAGTGCTTGGAATTGTGCTTCAGGCAGTGGCTAGTATAGAACTGTGATTTCTGTAACTCTGAATATTGTGGGAAATATCACAGAGATAACTCTTTACAGCTGGAGCTGTAAAGGTCAGATCCAGTTGTGCCCACGTGTGAAAAATACAGGGTTTTGGAATGTTCTCAAAGAGATAGACATAGAAAATGTTACTGCTGTGCCTTGTGCTCTCCAGGAATATATCTGTTGTTATTAGAATATATCAAAGCACCTGCCCAGGAACCAGAGGCTAGAATTAGGTCAAGAATTGTGTCTAATA